CAAAAGAGTTGTTTAGAAATGCTTCATAGTAAGTTGAAAGTAGCAAAGAAATTTCTTAGCCTCGTACTATATCTTTGTGCTATTCCAGTGTCGTAAATTTTATTGAACTCGGTTTCAATATGGATCACGCATGTAGTTATTTCAATCGTATCAATCGTTTAGTAATGTTTCTTTTGTATTTGATTATTATTGACTTCTATCAGTTGGGCTGTTCACGCCGCCAACCATCTAGGTCGTAATAATAAATCTGTGTAGGCGAGTCACGCGGCAAATTTCAAGATTTGCGTATATTTTTTCTACACCAATTCGTATGTAGATTAAATAAAATAGCTCAACATTGTTGACCTGCGGTAAAATTAAAATATTCGCACATTCTTTATGAATTGTATATTGATGAATATGTTAATAGATTGCGCGGAGAAATATATCAGCAAAATCAGTTCTTCCATCAGTTCGGGAAGGAATCTAAAACTGCATTTAATTTTTAACTCCCACTTGTAGCAATAATTAAAATTTCATATTTTTTAATCAAAGAAAGTAATTAAAAAAGGTCTAAACCATATTAGAATATTAAACACAGGTAGGTATACAATTATTACCATACCACATATTATACCACAATTTTACCTGAATGTAAATTCCGTAATAATCTTGTTGCATTGCATGTTAATGACCACCCTTGGATAATCCCATTCAAAAGCAATTGGTCACTTTCCTATATCTATGGACAAACCATACCACAAATGATGTACAGATACTTATCATTCTCGGTCAGAGATGTAGCTTTGTCTTTCAATGGCATAAATAAGGGTCTTGAAGTGATTTCTAGAATCTCCTAATAATAAATAATAAATAATAAATGATTCCAAAACCCAGGTTGTTCGTTTTAGCAATAAAAAAGAGGAAATTATTCCGATCTGAAACTTTTCGAGAATGGAACTCCGCTTGAATTTGTCTTTCTTGATAGTAAGCTGCTTTTCAGTTGTCACTTGTCTTATTTACTGCAGAAGTCCTAAGGTAAACAGAAAGTACTTTACATGTATAAAGACTACTACTGAGATTACACTTAATTTGTGTGACTCTCCTATTATACTCTATCTATTGGGATATGCGGACGTTGTATACTGGCCGGCTCTAAGACGAAAAGACCAACATAGCTTACAAAAATTGCAAAATGCCTGCCTAAGTTGCAGCTATGGTTGGCGTAAATGGGATCATATAACGCCGGCACTCAGTGGTTAAATCTGTCTGAAAGGTATTTTGCGCATCTGTCTACGTTAGTGTATAAAATGACTAGTTACGAAAAGCCCATAGTCTCTATGATAGACTGGTCAGGGGTAGTGATATAGATAACAGAATGTCACCGTAATCAGTCCTATGTTCCCAAATACGGCTGCGTTTCAGAGCTCTGTCACATATAACGCTATTAGAACTTACAATTCACTTCCAAAAGTGCTGGCGAGATTAAGGAGAGGTTGAACCGCTTAAGATTTTTTCCTTATTGTTTTTCTTTTAATCGTTTTTGAATATTGTCCTTGCTTTTTCCCAGTGTCTATTTTTTTCTATCTTTCTTTTTTTAGGAATATAAAATTTTTACATTTATCCCCCTTTGATTGGTTTAAAATTGACATATTGGAATTTATGTGGACTTAAGGGCTGATTTGTTAGTTTTTTTTCTTGTTAAATTCTGTATATCTACTACATTGTATTGGTGGTTAGGTGGAGTAGCGCTGCTAGACCTCGCCACCCGTTGAACTCTTTGGTGGAATATTCGTTTTGTTGTATTTTAATAAAGGCTATTTATTATTATTATTATAAAACGGATAATAATGCAATTTCAGGATAAAAAGAATGGAATGGAATAGGGTTTCATGTATCAATTTCAAGAAATAGAATAGAAATTAAAAGAAAAATAATATATTATAATATATATAGTACAGTATAGTATATAGTACATAATATATTAGTTAATATAATTTAACAGTAACAACCTTTTTGTGGTGACAAAAGATAGGAACCTATGCATTTTATGTATATCTATTTAAATTTAAATGGCTATTTTCTTAAAAAAACATAGAAAATTGCTAGCAGCGTTGGATGTAAGAGTAATAGTTTAGAAAATGGGTGATGAGTCTGGTAGGACCGACGATGGTTCACCTACACGACAATTTCTGAAACTGTTTTGAGGAAGTCTCCACAGATTGTAGAGTGCTTTATTTGTGAAAACTCTAGTCCCATAAAATGTACAAAATCTATACATTTTTACATAGTTCTGCAAAGTCAATGAACCTTCTTTAAACTGGTTCTTGTAAATTGATATCCTACTCTCTCATATAATTACATACCCTTCTTTATATAATCAATCTTTATTTGTTCCTTATCAATGTCAATCAATGAACCTTCATAAGACATTTTTTACTGAATGTAAATATATAAATTTTTAATAATTTTGTTGCCTAATTTATAAGTCAATTCCTATGTTAGCTAGGAAACTGATCTGTTGACATTTTCCTGACTGAAGTGAAATTCGCTTAAAGCGTTGGGTAATATACTTTTTTTAATTTATTTTTTGTAACAATAACGTACTTTGATCATTAGTGCTACAAAGGGAGCGCCCGACTTACTTCAGCATCGAATGACATCCCCTTTAGTCTCTTGCAAGGACTTTCCAGTTTTCTGCACCATTCTTTGCAGCATCTTCAAAGACCTCTCCATCTTAGTCTTGCTCTTCCACTGTTGTAGTTGGTATGGCCTCAACATTCGCACGCTTTTGTAGCGTGTTATATGTTCTATATGTCTCCGTTTCCGTAGTCTCTTGCAAGGACTTTCCAGTTTTCTGCACCATTCTTTGCAGCATCTTCAAAGACCTCTCCATCTTAGTCTTGCTCTTCCACTGTTGTAGTTGGTATGGCCTCAACATTCGCACGCTTTTGTAGCGTGTTATATGTTCTATATGTCTCCGTTTCCTGATCCTGTGTATAAGTTGTAGAGCTTCGAGATCTTGGACAGTACCGGACTCTTCCAATTCCTTTGTCTATTCAATTCTATCTGAGATTGAGACAGACTTTTAAAATATAAATGAGGAGTCAACCATTCAACAAGAACAAAATAGTTTTATAGGTTTTTAATTTTTAAGTAATTTTTTTATATATTTTTTTTAATATTCCTGCGCGATATGTTCCCTAGGCTGGATAATATTACTTTACAATCTAGGAAAATGTTTATTAATACAATAAGAAGAAATCAGGTGTAGTAACTGAAACACTTAATTTGATCAATAAAAAATGACTACAGCAGCAGAACAAGTTGTCAAAGTTAATTTTGTTTTCGGCTGGAGCGTGAATATTGTTTTTATTACTGCAAATAATTTTTCGGCTGTGGATGCGGAAGTTCTCTATCCATTTCGGAGTTAAAATAAAACCTAACCTTCGTTTTTGTGTTTCTATTTTCCCAGTTTCTTATGTTTTTCACTAAAAAACGCGGCATCTATGTCCTCCCCTGCTGAGGAATCTTGAAAGACATTTGTTTTACAGCATTGTGGAATTGGGACGAAAACTATTTTTAGCAGCAAACTTAACCCGAATGTGTGACCTCACCCACTTATTCACACATACACACGCTCACATTATGATGTATGACACGAAAATAATGTTTCAATACATTACCATCCCATATTGGTTAGACAGTTATAGGTTTTTTTCTCAACTCCGGACCTGTGCCCCACCTTCGCTGTCTCTTTATATACAAGCCGATTCGCTCCGTTATATTGACTGAGCCATTTCCTCCTTTCCTAATATGCATATTCCTATCTTGGCAAACACAATGTAATCGACGAGGTAATTCCTGTTTGCCTTTCGTCGAGATATTGTACGAAATCGGACAAACCCATATTTAAATTGTGTACAGCGTTTGAAATGGCACTTTGAATACGGGCGAGCCTTCCGTACCCCATGTACCGTTGGATCTACATACAGGATGTTTCAAGTCCTCAATGAAATAGATAGATTTTTGTGCCTTTTTAGTAGTCTTTCCGGATGATGATTTGTAGTCGATAAACCAACATTAAACAAAAACTAATCTTCGTGAATGAAGTAAGTTTCGATTTTGTGAAGCAAAAAGGTGCAATTATCTGATTGTTTTTTTTTTGAGTTTTTTAACGGATGCTTTGTGGTGTCGTGTATACATCTATTTCGACTATTCTTGACCGTGAGGCAACGTAATAGCCAATAATTCTTAGTAAATTCTTTTGTTGCATTCGATGTGGTGAAGTGACTATGTAAATAAAATATATAAAGTTTGTCCATGTCATAACAAAAATTGTTAATTTAATTTTATATTTTTATGGCGATACAATATTTGTGAGTATTATTTACAAATAAAAAATAAATCAAAACTTTTGGTATTCTTGATTTACTTCACAGGAATTTAAAAAGAAAATTCAAAATGTTTTCCTTGTGCAAAATAAAAAAAATATTGGTTACATTTAGAAATTTAGATAAATACTTAAAGTGTTGGGGCTGGTCAACTGACCACTTCTCAATTGACCGGTAAGAAAGACCAGGATCCCTTCATTGGAGGCGTTTTTTCCTATAGTAAAATGTGTTTCAGTGATTTATCACGCCGTTGCCATTCTAGTTTGCCTGATTTGACTTGATTTTTTATGATTCTTGTACCGTTGGCAGTTAATATGTCTGTTTTGTTTAGATCAGATCGAGTTAAATTTGATACAAAGTGAAAATCCCAATTTTTATTACCTCGAGAATTTGTACATTTCTCAAACTGGCAAAGAAGAAGTTTCTCAAAAATAGTACACAAAGTTCCCGGCTTTAACGTAAATATTTGTTTTAATTAGTTCGGTTTTGGACTTGGGAATTTAATGCTATGGTAGAATAGATCAGTTCGAAAATGAAACGAAAGTAAAGGTAAACACTTAACCGCATCTTAGCTAGAAATGCTCGACGCGGCGACGGCCCTATTAACTTTGCCATTTCGATTTTCAGGTGGTCTTTACTTGAGGCCCGATGACGGAAACCTCTACACGACTCTCGAGCCAACGCTGAGCAGCAATCCCAACGTCTATTTTCAAAGAGGAAACGGCCTGCATGCTGGGATGATGTACTGAATTAATAAACGACACGGAGAGGAACGGACCTCGACGTGAAAACCACCCAAGCACTTTCGGATGCTCACCACGTATAGCAGACGCGAAAGTTATTGTGAGAAAACGTTTTAACGGAACACGGATATGACAATTAATTATTATCAGTGCCTTTTGCGTCGGTTGTTGTAACGTCTGTATTAAAATAACGGAGAGCGAAATCGACGTCCACCATCGCGAATTATTATTATTATTATTATTATTTTTGGCAACGAATAGAGAATATTAGGTAATTCGAATTAGCTAACCCGATTATTGCTTATTTAAGTTTAGTTAATAGACACCCCAGGATGCACGCAAGCTTGTTAACATCGTTTCGATGGCCTAATCTCTTGTGCATTTCATTTTGAGGTTAAGAATGATACACAAGTGATATCGTGAACTATGTAGTTGGTTATATTGTAGTCAAATTATATATAAGAAACTAGGAAGTGAACTAAGGTAGGTAATTAATAATCAAGTTAACATTTTTTTTTCAAAATATGGTTTTCGTAGTGAACGTTTGTACCTTTTATAACCGTCATAAATCCAACTTGCAAATTGAATCATAAATTAATTTGGTAATAACTTCGTGTTTAACACGAATATAATATTAATTTAATATTAATAATTAAATTAATTAATATTTATATTAGAAAGAACGAAAAGTTCAATTTTCTGCTACTTTCTTGCTGGGCGCTCAAGTTTTCGAAAAGATGTTGAATAATTAAAGCAATCATTTATATAACAACAGATATGTGAACTGGAAGTAAAAAGCAATAAAAATTAAAAATTTTAATTCGCTTTACCCGCTCGAGTAACGATAGAATTATAGTGCCGTGCATAGTCGAATTGTGTACGCAAGAAGGAAAATATTTATTACAACAATCAAATTGTAATATTTATCTGTGAAATTTGCAATTTAATCGGTAGTGTAAATTACACATTTACACGGAATCGCAAGTCTTATGACATTAGATGAATTATTATTAAGTGTTTAGGTTTTACTTGTATATAGTTTTAGTATTTTCTAGAAATAATTTAGATAATTAAAAGAATAAGTTTGTTGGTGAAGCCATTTATTGTAAACTAAGACATACAACGAATGACTGAACGTTTTACCATACGAATCTCTATTTAAGTTTTGCATTATGTACAAAAGTGTTTTAGTTGTCTACGAATAAAGTTAGTGCTAGAAATGTTCGAAGTTTTAATAAGCCTGAAATAAATATACAAGGTGTTTCCAAAATAACGTTTCGGATTCCAAGGAGAAATAGCAAAAACTAAAATGGCTTATTATCATTAGCATACATGCTATTACGTACAAACATTACTAAAACTACGCTTGTAATTGACATAATTATATATTCGAATCGTAGTAAATTACATTTATATGAATGCAAAAGCTAATTCACACTAATATTAATATTAATATAAGCATCTTTTACCACTTTTTGGAAGTTTTTTATATTCGGTAAATTTCTGGTGTCTGGTGTTCTGTTAAGAGTGTGTGACTTCAAAAGTTTACGGAACGTATTGCATACTATACTTTTTCTACGTCCGTTAGTTTTTGCGTACATTTTCGCAAAACAACACGAATACATCACTGACATGACCGTCAGAATTGACAAACGTCAAAAATCAAGGCGTGGGAAATATCTCCGAAAACATCCGATTGCTTCCAAACCTATGCGGTAAAATCCGAAGTGGCTCAAATCTATGGGAAACGAAACTGACGTGGTAAAGTGACGCTTCCTGCACGCTAGATCGATGTGTAATAAGGTACTTTACAAACGGGAGTAAAAAAAATCATGGAAGTAATTTATTTTTTATTTTATATATCACCAAACATTAGAGAACTTAATACTCTGAGACACCGACAACCATCTCGGGTAATGATTAGGTCTGCACAACCCAGAATAGCTCGCATGGCTTTATTTTGTAGCATTTGTATTTTATGAGCATCACTGTTTCTACAAAAAATCAAAAGCTAATTACAATACCAAAAATGAGGGCTGATAATCGCATTAAAAATAAGACGTCTGCTTCAGTGGCTAAGCTCAGGTGAAATTCTACGCAAGAAACCTCTCCTTTTTCCATTTTTTTTACAAATATAATCCACATGTGAGAAAATTAATTGAGAATCTAGAACTATTCCCAGATACTTCATTTGTGAAACATTTCCTATTAACCTGCTATCAATATAAATCTTAAAATTATTATCCAAAAATACCTTACAATTTTGTTTACGCCCAAATATCATATATGCTGTTTTATTTAAATTTCGCTTGAGTTTATTTACGTACAACCAGTAACTAAGTAACCTTAATTCCGAATTCATATTGTGTACCACTTCTAAGTAATTTTTCCCAGAAATTGATAGCAAAGTGTCATCCGCGAAAAGATTGACAAAACAATTTTCCAAAATTTTGTCTAAATCGTTCACGTGTAGAATAAAAAGCAAAAGGTCGTTATACATTGCCCTGGGGCATACCTATATTGTTTTCTAGCTTATTAATCCTTATTATATGGAATCTGTCACATAGATAATCAACTATCCACACAAACCCATTCACTCTGATCCCATATGCAAACAGTTCACCCACCAGACGTCCTCGATCGATGGTCTCAAAGGCTCTTTGAAGATCAATGAACACAGTTAAAACTATATTACCGTCAAGAATGTCAGACCTCAATTTCGAGCACACATAGAAGATTCACACGAGTATTTATTAAATATAACAATGGCTATCCGATTGCACAAAAAATATTTTTCAAAAAGTTTACATGGCATATGTAATCAGCTGTAGATTAATTTTTCGATTTTATTACAATACTTCTTAGTTCATTTATATTCAGCGTTTGAAAGCATGTGAATTCCTTAAGATTTTCTCTACTAATCTCCTCAAGATTGGTTTGGATATTTGGAATACTCGCAGCAATGTCAAGAATGCTTTTTGCATAAAAGTTGTTAAAAATTTTGTTCTATATTACTCAAATCATCTTCAAATTTAAAATCGTCAAAGTTGTCTGCGTTTCTGCGTTTGCTGCTTATTAATCCCTTCAACGTTCGGTACAATTTCTTGCTGTTTCCCTTTCATCGATCAATGCTGCTTTCATAATATTTCAACTTCTCACATCTTAAAACCCTCACAAATGTATTCCTGTTAGCCTGATAATTACGCTAATCGGTCTGCAACTTAGTATGCTTAAATTTTTTATAAGCGATATCTCGTCCCTATTGTGCCTGAAGTATCATATGACTCATGCAAGGAACTCGGTCATTAATAATTTTTTTCGTTGGTACTATCTTATCTACAACCTGGTTTATGTTAGGTATAAAAGCGGCGTATATCACATTAACATCGGTCGAATTATAATTCCACTGCATACCATACAATTCCGAAATTATATTATTCATATTTTCTTGATTAATCTGGCGTCTGAGCTTGAGGTTTCTCTTTTAGTGGCTTGGTTTCTAGATAACTTCCAATGATCATGTGGTCAGATATCTGTGGGAAATCCCGTGATGCTTCAACTAAATCATAGTCGTTTGAAAATATGACTCCAACCATTTCACTGTTTGCCGTGCGAACGGGTCATTCAGCGCCTAATTGCCAAGTCTTGTCATCGGTTAAATAGTTTTGTTACTTCGTTTAGTAACATTACCGTTGTCCAACAAGACGAAACAATCTAAGAAAAATGAGCTATTAATACCATTATGAAAAAGTGGTCTACAAAGGGGTAGAACTAAACTTGTACCTTCGCGATGTGTTTTCTCATCTTTGGATATTCATTTACTTTTCCATAGTAAAAAACAGTAACTCCAGATCGAGAATCATCTGCTATTAAAATACATTTAAGCTGGTTAATTTGTAGCTGCTATTGAGGAACTATCTCGAGCAATTGAAATAAATTTTTGGAAGCCGTAAGTTTCTCCCAATCTTTCTCACAGCATTACAAGATGCTCGCTCGGACTCGGATGGCAAGCTATACACATTTTGCGCCGAGTTTCATTTAATTAATTTTTATCCGTGCAATATAGGATTCCTTATCGAAGTGAAATACCTACGTAAACCCCCGGGAGAGTTTATTAATTCAATGCTCGAACCACGAGATGCGGGCGTTTCTTTGTTTTTTACTATTTTTCTTGCCGGCCAAAGCGAAATGATGGGCAGGGCGATCGGCCGGTATTCTGTTCTTCAATATAATATGAATTTAAGGCCTAATTATATACGTATAACATATTTTCTGTCGACGGTGCCGGCGTAAAATAGATTCGTGATTGTATGCACAATCCGGGATCGAGGCGTAATTGGAAATTCGTATTATTGTCGGCATACGTATACGTACGCTCCGCCGCTGCCGACACGACTCATTAAAATTTGTTTGGTACCGCACGTGTTGGATACACAACGCAAATTGAAAAATGACCGCCAGATTGAAAAAAAAAACGCACGTCCGTGATTTTCCTATGTCTTTATATACATATATGTATATAAATATATATATATATATATATATATATATATATATATATATATATATATATATATATATATATATATATATATATATATATATATATATATATATATATATATATATATATATTTGAATTCAAAGGATATCGGGTAGCGGTCCGTGGTTAAAATAGAAAGCTCCTTTTTTCTTTAACACTCAATATTTCGTCAATTTATTTGTTGACTTCTTCAGGAGTGAACTAAAATTTAATGAAAACAACAGGTCAAACTATATAACAGACAATTAAAACAATCGTGAGAAATACTTACAAAATTAGAGCTTATTTATTGTGTATCAGACTTGTAATTAATTGAATCTTTGTTTTTGTTAATATGGCACATTTCAAGAAACAATCGGGCTTTATAATTATTGACACATTGCAAAATTTTTGGATTGCTGTAGTCAAATTCATGTCATGTGATGATTCAGTCGATGCAAATATATTCAGTGAAGTCGGTTTTGCTCCTGAGAATGTTTTAACTATAAAGAACAGTAGACAAGCAGAAAACGACGATGTCAATATCCTGTTAATCAAAATATGGACTAGGTCGCCATTCACCTCAACAAGCAGTTTCGGAAACAGCGTCAAAATATGGATCTCAGTCATTTTCAGAGGTAGTTTCTCTTAACAGTATTGAAACAATTCTAGATTCCCCACAAGAGAGGAGTTAGAAGCTAAACAAACACCTGCCAAAAAAAGGAAACTATTAAGTGGAAAGTCAATTTAGATTTGGGAAGACCATCGAAGAAAAAAGTTATCGCCAGCGAGTGGTATTGAAAGTATTTTTCTGAAGCAGTCGTGAAAAATATGATACAGTGCTTTAAATGAATGGGTACATGAATTATGTGCTAACGTACAACGAATAAACAAATTAATTTGACTTTTGTATACCTAATTAAAATTTTTTACTTTTTGCATTTGTCTATAACAAAAAACGTTTTTAAAATGTCTACAAGATATATTTCTTCGTTATTTTCTTGTTTTTAAGAGGTTCGATATAGGAATACAGTGGTCCAATTTAAGATACCGGTTTCCTATACTGAACCAAGGGTTTCAAAATTTGTATTGTCAGCTAAAATTACCCAGTCGGCGAAAAGCATATAAAGTGCAGTAATTAGGTAACATATCAAGATATATCAATATGCAAATAAAGTTCTAAAGGTAAAAACTGGTCAGTATAGGCAACCTTCCCCTAATTCGACATTCTAATAGCTCGGTTTTTCATAGGCTGCAGTAGCAAAAAATTCTAAATAAAAAAGTTGTCTGGCAAGACCTGTTAAATCCATAGACATTGAAATTAACTTTGAATTGTTTAATGTCAAAAAGATGTCAATTACAGAAAGCTAAGATTTGTTTTGGTTAGTTTGTTCAATATTTGCAGATTTTTTTTTGGTTAGCTTTTTACATTCAAGCGGCTCAATTGAAATTTAAGCTTTGCTGTTTGTAAGGTTTAGGCTACTTTGGACTAAGATCCGTAATATCTTTCAAATGTCAAAGATACGAAATACATTAGGTGTGGCCATTTTGAATAAACCTTTTGGGATATACAAAAGGTTTAGTTCGTCACTTAAGTTTTGCCGACGAAGTCGAATGAAAAACAAATATCAAAGATGCGACGCTGGCTTGGTTTTTGACGTCAACCAAACAAAACAAACAAAATGTTTTTAAATGTGTCACTCTCTATTTTCTGAAATAAATAAAAATATAGGGGCCAACTCCAAGAAATGAAGTTGACTAATTTGAAATTGAAACTTGAAAGATATTAACAATCGAGCATCCATAAATGAAGACAATTATACAACGTTACCATTACAGATTCTGTGCGGCCACAAAACTTGAAAATTAAATTTATTTAACAAATCACAAAATGTTTTTAGAATTAGAAAATTGCAAATAGGAAAGCTTATATTTCAAGTGAGACAGTTAGAATGATATCCTTGTACTTGTCTGCATCGTTACTATGATATAGTATTAATTATTTTTTAATTTTCTCAGTGGTAATGAAAGTAATATTTTCGGGCTATTCTTGACATATTTTGCTTCTATGAAAAAGTTTGCAAAACAGATATTTCGCTCATGATTTGTAGTATACATAATTGCCAACATATTTCAGAAAGAAAAATTAAAAAATATTGTAAATTATAAAATTAATAATAGTACATTTTTTCATCACATGGTTGTGTTAATTTTGATTTAAGGCGGACTAATGTCACTTTTTCGACAAGGATAAGAAAAACAGGGTAGGAACAATCGAAATGATTCCTGGGCGTCCTGTCGCATATACAAATGCAAGGCAATGTTACCAAGCACTTTAATGAGACAGTTTGTAAACGGCATAAATAATTTATAAGATCATTTGATTAGCCTTTCATTCATTTGCGTCCAAAGATGGGAACGCCCAGTGACATGTGTTAATGCCAGAATCGAACATCCTGTCGGTGTTTACATCAAGTAAAAAATCGCTCATTAATATGCATGGCCGATCGGCCAAGCTCAATCGAAAATTAGAATTGGCGGCGTGTATTGATGATCCCTTGCGGTGATGTTGAGCAGAAACAATTGGATTACTTAAATATCAATACAAAAGTTTATAGTGGCGTCAACGATTGTGTAAAATCTTATAAATCCTTAAAATTTGAAGTTATTGACTTAAAAAACATACTTTTAAACATCAAAATTTTGCAAATGAAAGAGACATCGAGATTTTTTTTATTTCTTCAATAACTACTATAGAAATACACTTTGAGAGTTGAAATACGCTTTTAAATGTTATGATAAAAATGATTAGATTTTGATGAAATTTTCATTTTTCTATTTTATGCAAATTTTATAGTTTGGCTAAAAATTATTTTTGAAAGTTGCAAATATTGAAATGTTGAAAATGTCGCCACATCAATTTTATTGCAGCCTCTACTTTATTTAGTCGGGTGTAATCAAAGAATTGTATAAAAAATAATCAATAAAATTAAAAAATCCAATTTCTTTGCAAGTGAATCAATCAACAACGGGAGATTCATTGAAGTGTGTTCGCCTTGTTTAAACAAACCGTCTCAAAAATAATAACAGCCACTTTTTCCCGGAGAAATAAAACGCCTAAAACGATGTACCTCGCAGCGGTGTCATTTAACAATTGGTACAGATATTAAACTCTTAACCCAATTGATCGCTTTGCCAAGTACCATGTTATTAAAGTACCATCTATACCAATTCACGTAATGGTTTAATTGTTGCAGCGCGAGTTGTACAAGTCCGAGGTTTATTTAATGAGAGTGTCCGCAATTGCTTATTCCGATGGTAGTTTACTTATCGCGAGAGCTTTGTTTATTTAGCTGCATTCCGAATTTTCTTTTTATTTTCTCATTCCTTTTCTATAGGCTGATGGATTACTGCGATGACCCTAAGATAAAAATCGTATACAGGGTATTATTGAAATGGCATCATATAATTCAACCAGTGGATCTGAGAGAAAAACTCCAAAGATTTGATACTTTTGCTAGATGGAACTATGATAGCTGCAAAAGCTGCAAAATATTAATTTCATAGGTCTAAATATAACACAATGTTTCAACAGTGTTATTACTTCCCATGAACCAAAATGGAAAGGTAAGGGCGTGATGGAAAAGTAAGTAACTCCTTAAAACCCTTACTATAAAGCTACACAAAAGTTGGTATACCCAGAAATCCAAAATACTTAAAAAAAATTTGAAAGTTTTAAAGAAATTTAAAGGCCAGAAATAAAAATCTCTTAAAAAAGTCAAATGTATTAAATTTTCCTTTGAAACTTTTCTAGCAACCAAGTCAATACATAAAACCCAACAAAATAATGATTTATTTATTGTGCCTAAATAATAAGCGCAAATATATATTATCATGTCAATGAGAACAACAAATGATAAAGTCAATTAACAATTTTCGTTATTATATGGAAATACTTTATTTACATAATAACTTGATGAGTTATTTATTTACACAACAATAAGATCAACATCATTTTCAAGACACTTCTAACATAAACGAGACATGGTATGGCATACAAAACGTTTTATTAACAGCAGGTCAAGAAATGCTGACTTCAGAACGAAAAGCAAGACAAACTTGGATGACAGAGGAAATATTATGCTTAAAGGACGAAAGTAATGGAAGAAATCGACAACATCGTTCAAACAAAAATTAAATCTGCCAAAGAAAACTGGATAGACTGTGAGGAAGTGGAAGAATACGAGCGAAGATATGACAGCTTCAATCTACATAGGAAGCTGGAAGAGATGACCGGAATGAAGAAATATAAGCAGTGTACTGTATTGAGAAGTCCCGACGGCAGTATTATTTCGAATGTCAAGCGACAGCTGATTCGCTGGACTGAATTAAATACCGTTTCAATGACGATCGGACTGAACTGATTCTTTGCCATGCTGAGGAGACTGGTGCGGAGATGCTGCGCAGGGAGGTTCTACATGCAATTCAACAGACAAAAGGAGGAAGGGCAAATAATCCTGACGAGATACGAGATGAATATTCAATTATGATCCTCGTAAATCTTTTTAATACAGTGGCTTTCATCTACATTTATAACGTTACCTCAGAAACAAAATGCTACAGAATGTTTCGATCATCGAACAATAGCCCTTATGAGTCACAGTTTGAAGGTGTTTTTAAGAATTATTCATATTATTATTTGTTATTAAATTATTCATGTTTTTTGTATAAACGTGTTAGCGCAACAATGTCTCGACATGAACCAAGGTGTCTACACCTCATTTGTTGATTTCGAAAAGGCGTTTGATAAAGTTCAACCTCAAAAACTTATAGAAATATTACAGAACATGAACATTGATAGTCGGGACATCAGAATCATAGTGTATCTTTACTGAAACCAAACAGCAAGTCAGAAATGAAGATCAGCTAACAGATGAAGTGGAGATTCTGCGAGACGTGCGACAGGGCTGTCTTCTTTCTCCGCTACCATTTAAAGTATATAGTGAGGCAATTTTCAGTGAAACTATGGATGAACGACAGGAGGGTGTTACCATAAACGGACAGATTTTAAACAACTTACGTTATGCGAACGACACCATTATAGTTACAGACAAGCTTGAAGATCTGCACACCCTGCTGCAGAAGCTTAATGATACATGAACCTTAAGAAGACTAAATCCATGATTATTACAAAGAAAGTAAATGTTAACGGATTTTTTACTATAGACAACAAAACGGTAGAAGTAGTAAGAAAAAACAAATACTTACGGCTACACGAAACAGTTTCACAGTTTCATGGAATCAAAAGTCGGATAGAGGTAGCTAGAGTTTCTTTGCAGCAGAGAAATAAATTTCGGATTAAAAATGAGAATCCTTCTGTTTTTTCAACATTACTTTACGGGTCAGACACTGAAAAAGGCCGATATGGACAAGACAGGTTTCCAATTTGCAACTGCTACAGAGAACCCAGAAACAGGAGGAAGTAATTAACTCTCTACGTGGTCAGAGGATTTGATATGCGATGCTACAGAACATTATGGAAGCAAAAGATCAAGAGGAGTCAAGGGAGGAGAGCCTCTTGGCTCAAAAACTTAAGGGGATGGTTTGGAATACCATCCAACCAACTATTCAGAGAGGCTGTTAACGAGATTAGGATAGCCACGATAATATCCAACCTCCGTTAGGAGAAGGAACAAGTTGAAGAAGTTGTGATAGTCACGTCACAAGTCAGTGAATGTTGAATTGAATTTTGGATAAATGTGTCCAAGAACTAATAGTCATAGAAAAAGCATTGTATAGCAACACGTTGATAATCTCGTGACTAAAGTGTTGTTTACCAAACTTGCTGCATAATATACTATTTGCATCTTAGCCATGTTCTGATCACCAAAAAGTAAAGGTTTAAACCCGAATTTGACAGAACAAAATCTAATTGGCATAAAGGTGAGGTGCAAATTTACTGTCATTTGGTACCTAAAATCAAATTGTCAACTTACATACCAGCGTGTCACTTTTTTAAGTGACTGACTGTACCACCTTGGAATATGGTATTATTTTTGAAAACAAAAATTGTATCATCTAGTTCAAAAAATTCAAATAGATCTCCGGACGATACACGCAAATTTGCTAAAAAAAATAAAGAGAAATGAAACACATCATTACATATGTAACAATATTTAATTTATTAATAGTGTAGTATATACTCCCACCATGATTAAAATACATTAGTGATTAATATAATCAATATAACATAGTAAATATTAATCACATGTGCAACATGACCTTATTTAAAACTGATTGCCATAAAATGACTAAAAAGAAACACAGTAAAACATGAGTGGTAAAGGGCACCCATCCACAACTTCTTCGTGAAAACTTGGCGTTTAATAATCTTGGGTTTCCCGGAATACTCATACAAAAATCAGCGTAATAGGCAAATATAAATAAAATATATTAAAATTAGATAATCATAATTACAACCAAGTACAATAGTACACAGCCTAAAACTATATTGCAAATAGCTAATTTCATAAAAAGAAAGCACAAAGTCAAATTCAATAGGTAAATTGCTTATTTCCCTCAAACCGCTGGTTTATTTACGTTTTATGTATTTTTTTGCATTATGCAAACACAAAAGAAAACAAGTAAATAAATGTTAATTAGAAGAATGCAGAGAAGAAACAATAAAAGCAAACGATAGCGGAAAAGAAAATATGGAACGTGATTAAAATTTTAGATAACGAATTCTTTCATCCATTCAATTTAGTTTTAAATTGAATAAATAGTAATTATTATAAATCATTAAAAATAAGTTACAGCAAAATACAAAACAGTGGAGTATTACAAAATCACATGGATGAAACTAAAGGGTACCTGTAATAAATGCAAGACGATAGCTCGTCTTTATCACTGCGCAATGAATTTATTTTTTAATTATCAAAATGAAACAAAATATGTTCTTCGCAAATCTGGTATCAAAAAGTTTGGCAAAACAACTCTTCAATTCTGGCCAATAATTATATTTGTTAGTGTAAATATGTCTTTATAGAAGTATTATAATTAGAAATACAGAAAAAAAGATCGCAAAGAACATTAAAGCGGACAATTACAAGAAAAATATATTTACCTAGCTAGATATGTAGCTCCGAAATAAATTATGTAAGTAAAAGAACGACTAATTATTCCATTTTTATGCAAAATAAACATATCATTTTGACGAGATGCATTTTCAAACAAATGCACACCTTCCGATATATTAAACATTGGAAATCAGAAAATATATCACTATATCAACTTACAACATTGATATACCGATCACACACAGTATGATTTAAAAACGCTTTAATGACATTTCAGCCAATGTTAGACTTTGTTTGCTCGAAATATGGTTCGATGCCTTGTTGAGTATGTCATCAAATACTTGCCAACCAGTTCGCTTCGGATCAAAATAAATTAAAAAAAAAAACACTAAATACTGACTAGAAATTTTCATTTACTATTTTAATGACAACTTAATTCAGCAGCATGCCCTTGAAAACCGAAACCAATTTTTAACAAGGTCCCTTCGCATTTAAAATAGTTTATTGTTTTAATGAACTGCAAATTCTGTATAAATATATATTAATATTTTTACTTTTAAACAAAAGTTTAGAAACTGCTGCTGAAATTCCCTACAAATTTTAGGTTTTTCTGATTGTCTCATTGTGTGCCTTTGCACAGAAAAACTAAAACCTTAATGCACAAGTATTTTGGAGCAATATAGCACAATAAATAACATATAAAGTTTTTTGAACTATTTACTTATTCTCCCGTTTTGTTGCTATCAATCTCCTCGGAAAATGTCGGCAAGCATTAGATATATCAGCATGAAAAAATCCCATAAAACTGGAAAATTTACCATTTCTGATTGCAAATAGGAAGTCCAAATATACCAACACAAATATACAACAAAATTTGAACGTTTGAAATCTGATCTTCCCATCCCATAACGAACGCATAATCGCCATGTCACATCATATCATGAAACATCAAAAAAAAAAAAAAAAACAATACACTCATGAACCCATTGGGTTTAATTTTTTTTACTTGGGAGAATCCTCCCCGCTCCACTCCTCCAATTCCTCTTGCAGTCGCAACTCCAGCTCCCGCATATCGTTGGCGATGTCAGCTTCGTAGGTCGCGTCATCGGAACTACCGACTGATAACGCGCCATTGCTGTAGGTGCCCATCGTTTGGTTCAAGGAATGAACGATTTTGTTCTGTAATACGAACAATGTGTAATATACTTCCAATATAGAGAAATTAAAAAATAGAGAGTTTCAAGTACAACACAAAATGCGGCATTTTCTTGATGAGGATCTCTGTAGCCCATGAAGACGTTAGTTTTGAGGGAACTACAAATTTTAAATATCAAATGTCGGTTATTATCCCAGCGACTTTTTCAATTCATGGAGTGGAATTAAAATTAGAAATAATTAATAGTTCAAATGCGATTTCACCACATTCATTAAGAAAACTGATTGAGGGTGTCATAGTGCAAGTGTCTGAATATTAGTATTCCACATTTCAAGTTTGTTGTTCAATACTATTGGTACTACAATCAGAGAAAAACTATGGCAGGTACTACAGCTACTATGGCAGCTTTTTTGTTGTTACCGCGTGTATAATCTATCAAATATTCATGGACTTACAAGACAAGCTTCTTTCTGTTTCTCTTGGATCCCCTGTTCGATCAGTTGCAATTCCTGCGTCAGCCTTTCACTCTCGCTTAGGGACGTCACGCCTTGCGCCGCCAATTTCAGGTCATTCAGCTGTTTCTCGAGGTTGCGCAGTTGGATTTTGACGCGCTGCGATTCCGCGAGTAACTCCTTAGAAGGATCTTGCAGTCTGGAGTGAAAAATCAGCTGGGGTGATCCTATATTTGAAAAAAAAAAATGGTTGCGACTGGGGATAAGTTTAAAAAGGTTAGATGTACAAACCATAGGTTACGTAACCTTCGTTAATGTTTGTAACCGACGGGCCGATCATGGTGTGGGCCCCAGGTACCGCGGTTTGAAAATGGGCGCTGTTGTTGTTATAGTACCACGAAGTTACCGGGCTCCCGGACGATACAGGCCTTCTGATCTGGACCAATTACATAGAGTTCAAGATACAGATGATGTCAGCAGCTCTCATTACAATTAAATCATTCACTATCCAATAACTTTCACCTAATATTACCTTTTTCAGAAACTGACAATGTTAATTGCATTCAATATTTTTAGGATTTTTTCTCTTGCTCTTGGGAGTAATGCCACAATATAAGTTTGAACAAAAAATGTGTAAAATGCAAGATTGTAAAACCATGGTTTGTGTCGTTAAATTTCCTGCTTTGTTCCTTTTTTTCACCCAAAATTGTGCAAGTGTATTTTGTGTTGTTCTAGGATATTTTTGTTGGATTTAATAAGGTCATATTTATTCATTTTTGTTTTTATTTGGTTGGTCGCCAGTTTCCACAAACTTGTTTATAAGTAAACCTGGCGGACTAGATACTGTATAGGTTCATTGTGGTTGTCGCTATGAAAAACAACAAAATTACCTTTTGCTTTTTCAGTAGTAGTTCTAAAGGTATTTACAAGCATTAATCTTCTATTGTTGTTAAGTAAGATTAAATTGAATATTTTTAAATACGCAGGCAATCATATTCTTTATAAACTGATCGGAGATTGTCTCTGCGGAGGGCACCACAATTAAACGAAAGTATAAACTATAACCATTTACTTTTTTTTTCAGCATATGAGCCTAACTGTCTACGTCTTTAAGTGATATTTGGAATGGATACATTATAAAATTACTTCGAGTGTCATGTAAAAATTAATTGCAGTTATAAGCTTTGTTTTGGTGAAATTTTAGAAATCGCACATGCGCTTTGGAAATTTATTATGAATTTGCGAATCGCTCTAGAACCAATCTTTCAGATTTAATTCTAAAATAAAACCAAAGCGGCTTCAAACTGGCAAATGACCGGTGGGGACCATATTGGTGCTGTTGTGCAGAACATCGATTCGACATCAGACTGAGGTAAAGACTTACTCTTTAAAATAATAATAATAATAATATATTTGTGTAACACAATTGTCTATATCACCAAGACCAATCAACGATAGAATTAAAATTATTACTTACTTAACAAAGTTTGTTTTAAATTCCAGTAGATATAAACAATATAATAATTAAGCCAACAGGATAAAATCATCAGTTAAATTAATTATTTATAAAAAAAACTATTTAAAGAATAAATTAATTGCAGTTTTATACCTATTATTACATTCATTTTGTTATATACTGACTAATAAATACATATTCCGAGGATCTATGAAATCGTGCATACGTTTATGTGTTTTTTCAGTCATCCATAGTTTACTTTTTTTAAAATAAATTTAAAGAATTTAATTTTAACCTAATTTAATCTCGATGCTATAGTCGTCTCAAGAAGTGGCAATTTATATTTGTTGAGTTTGTTCCTTGTATTGTATTCATGGTGGTCTTTTTCAAGGATGTGTTTATTTTTGTGTTCGCGTATTGACAGATTGTGGCAGAATATTTGACGCGGATCGAGAACTTTTGCCGAATCATATATTTGTTGTGTTGGGAGATTACAGTTTTCTTGTAAATTACTTTTAATATCCATTTTTGATTTTTTTCTAATTGATACATTACATAAATAGATGCACCTATATCTAATATGGGTTTCAAAAAGTGCACGATAGAGCAGTTTTAATTGTGTCTCGTTTAAAAGCCAAAAACTTGAATCTGGCTAAACGTGCGCTAATCTTTTTCAGGACATATGCAATCTGAACATCCCACTATACCTTATATATTGTTTCGACTTTATTTGGACAATTTTGTGATTAATAGTAAATCTTAATGTATTATAAGTAGGGGTGTTTCTGGCATATGATGTAAAGGCTAAGAAAAATTTTTGTTCAAAGTTCACAGTCAACAACATACTATCTATCAAACCAACTCAATACAGTTTTAAAGTCCTGTTCAATGATTAACTTAAGTTCTTTGCAGTGTCATCAGCCAAACTCTTAACCCATCCTTTGATGTCCAACTTGAAAAGCCCGTTAAAATACATATTAAAAAGTATAGGGCCAAGTACGGTTCCTTGAGGCATTTTCAATTTGCACACATTTTTTTCGATTATTTAAGTAACTTTGTAATGACTAGTATAGAATGCCTCTAAAGCCACTATCGTGCAGCTTTAGCCACATCGACAAATATACACAGTGATGGAGCTTTTTTGTCTATACATTTGTTTGTTAGCGACTTCTTCCACTTTAATTCAGCTACTGCATCCTCTGTCGACATTTTTTCTCTGAAACCGTACTGATTTTGCGACAAAATGTTATACTTGTCCAAGTACCATCTTCTGTTTTAATATTCTCTCAAATATTTTCGTAAAACTTGAAACCACTGAAATTCGTCTGTAACTCGACACAGTCTCTACATCCATTTTTATATAGAGGTGTAATAATCGCTTCCTTAAGAATTATCGGAAACACTCCTTCGGAAAACGATTTGTTTAGTAGGTATAAAGTTAAAAACAATAAAGGTTAAATGGGAAACTATACTTACGGAAACTAACTAACTAAATTACGGAAAAAACAAAATTCGATAAAAGTGCCGCTTAAGAAATTAATATAAAAATTCATAAACTTTAATAATATCTTAGATGAATATAAGGCTCGTGAAACTATTGAATGTGATGATTTCACTGTGATAATTTTCTTGTCTTTCTGAAGTCGACTGGCAGAGATTTTGACGTGATTGAGATGTTAGAAACGAAACTGCAAATATCTTTTTTGCCAATATTACAATTTGTGTTGCTAGAGCGACGGTAACTAGAAAAGAGATCAGTAAAAAAGCTAGATTAACACCTTGGATAATGAGCGGTCTCCTGATTTCTATTCGAAATAGGGAAAAATTAAAAAAGCAATAATTTAAAAATAATTTAAATATTTTAAATTATAAAAAATATAGAAACGAATGGTCAAAGATAATTAAAAAAAAGCTAAATATTTGCACTATAGGTTAGTGATAAAGGCAACGATATTTTTACAAGGGCTTATGACTGGTTTCTAGGAAATAAATTGATATTAAACAAAGAGAAAACGAATTTAATTATGTTTAGAACTAAATTATGTAGAGTTGAAATACCATTAGGAATAGGGATAGGTAAAGAAAATATTAGTATTGTAAATAGCACTAAATTCTTAGGTTTACAAATTGACGAATTTCTTGATTGGTCTGAACATATTGATTATCTGCTAAATAAATTAAATTCAATTTGTTATGGAATTAGAGTCGTTGCAAATTAGATGAATGAGGAAACCTTAAAAATTATGTATTTTGCAAACTTTCAGTCGCGCATACGGTATGGAATTATCTTTTGGGGAGGTAGTGGTCAACTACAGAACATTTTCGTAAAAAAAATGCGATTTAGAGAGAGCTGTAGAGGGGTGTTCAAGGCTGAAGGTATTTTTACGGTATATGCTTTATATATTTATGAAGCATTGATATTCTTTTTTAAAAATCGAAAGGACTTCGAACTACAGATATTTCATAGATATAATACCAGAACCCTAAATGTAAATTACCTGATTCACCGTTTAACCTTAACTGAAAGGAGTCCTTATTACATATGCCTGAGATTGTATAATAAATTACCAAATGAGGTACAAACAATTGCAAATCCAAAAATCTTTAAATAAATAGTTATTGATAGAGTTAGAACCTTACTCCATAGAAGATTTTTTTCTGTAATATTTAAATAATTGTTTAATTAATACGATGTAATTGAAATTTGTAAGAATATCTTGTGCTTTTTCCTTTTTTGACGCCGATTTCCTTTGTGTTTGGTATATTATTTTAAGGTAATGTGTTTATCACACAATGTGAAATAAAGTTGATTATTATTATTATTATAAAAAATTACTGATGTATAACTCGAGAGATTCATTCTAAAAAGATATGGAAAATAATTAAGGAAGCAACAATGATCAAACTAATAATTCTGAAATCAAACAAATAATAAATGGTAACAATGTTGAAATTACTGACAAAGAACTATTAGCAAATGAATTTCCCTCCTACTTCCGTAAAGTTGGTCAAAAGTTGGCAGGAAGAAATTTTGGATTCAAAAAAAAGTTTCAAAAATCGTGAGAAAGAGGGTGAGGACAACATAAGCTCTGAAATAATAAAAATAAATATTGTACATCTCTTAAACCCTTTGATCCATATTGTAAATTTGGTGTTCATGGCGACAAAAAACTGACTAGTAACTATAGACCGATTGCACTAATAAGCTCTATTAGAAAAATATTTGAAAAGTAGTATATAAAGTATAAGCTTTCAATATATCTAAAAAAAATCAATTTATTGGATGGCAATCAGTTTGACTTTAGAGATTTTAGATTATATTTTGCGTAAACTTGATAATGGTCCGAGAGTGATGGGCATTTTTCTTGACTTGACAAAGGCTTTCAATACTGTGGCACATGGATTCCTACTGGAAAGGCTGAATTATATTGGTGTAAGGGGGTAGCAAATAACCTATTTAGATCCTATTTGAGTGAGACAACACAGAATGTAAGAATACGTTGAGTGATAGGTTACAAGTAGAATTTGGTGTCCACTGATATTTAACATTTACATTATCAGAATTATGTCCGTCACTAATGAGTGAAACGTGTTTTCTTTTGCTGACGATACAGCAGTGACTTTGATGCGATTTGTGTTCTTTCATAAAATTATTAATACAGATTGGTCATTGTATCTAAGAAATAAAATTCGATATAGTACAGATGGACACTCTTAATTTAAGATTTCGCTGGTACATATCCCATCCACTGCATAAAACACTATGAAAGGTGTTTCTCTTATAACATTTATATTTTATTTAAAAATATTCCACACAATTTAAAAACATTATCAGTTTCTTTTAAGTTAATATTAGATGAGTGACTTTTTTTTTGTTTTTTTATATAGTTTTTTTTTAAGTGGACATGGTAGGAGTAACTCTTTAATTGTGTTTTTTTCTTCCTTTTCGTAGTGTGCTTTTAGCATAGGATTTAGAATTTTAGTGTAATTATTGACATTGTCATCTTGGGGGCTGAACTAGAATCTTTTTTAATTTGAATTTCGGCCTCCTTTTTGCTTGCAAAATTGGTTATTGGATTTAGATGCTAATTCTGTCAATACTTAAAGCAAATAAACTATAATTATTTTTAATATTATTAAATATATCATGTCATTTGAAAAACACGTCTAACCGAACTATTCCTTGGCTTGGCATTTTTGTCACTCACCAACGACGACGAAATATTTCCGTCTCTAAAAGACCCGGACACTTGAACCGGCGGACCTATTCCGTTGTCCTTATGCATCCTTGATATCGGCCCGTATTTACTTATAGCCGGCGCGTCATAAGGTACGTAGTCGTCATCGGCCGCCAATATGGAGTCGGATCGAACGAACGTGGGGCCCGAGTTGATCTGGCCGCTCCAAAAATTATACGGGGACGTCGGGCTATCAAGGTCGTGCTGCGACTCCTGTCTTGCCAAATTGGTCGCCGCGTTCGATATCTCGGCGGCCGCGTTTTTCCCCACCACCTTCTCCAGCTGAAGAATAACGTCTTTTTTCAGCTGGTGCAGCTCCGCCAAGCTTTTCGTTTGGTTACGGTTGGTCTTCGATTGGTGGGTGTAGTTCTTTGTCGATTCCCACCCGCACCGCTTGTTCAACTCGACGTTCTGCGCGCTCTGACCGTACTCGGCGATCGGCGACGCATATACCCGCCCGCCGTTGGTCAAAACGACACTGTTTACGGTGGCGGGGTACACGTCCGGATTTTGATAGGTCGCCGCCTGCGTCGGATATATCGGGGGAGTGTACTGCGGATTCGACGGATAAGTGGGACCGAACTGTACGTCGTAACCCATGCGAGGTATCTGGACTACCGTTTGGACCGGAACGGGACTAACGGTAGTGGCCGGATTCGGTATATAGTACTCTTCCGGTTGGGGAAGTGCTTTGTCAATGGGCGACTGGTTCTCGATGCGGTGCTCCTTGTTCCGATTGAGGTTTTTTCTGTTTTTCGCGCGGTACTTTTCCAATTCGTCATTGGAGTGGGCAAAAGTGCAGTTGGTGCCCCTCGGGCAGCTGCCTCTCAGCGTCAGGTCCCGACACATGCTGATCTTATATTTGGCGTGTTGCGAGTGGGACGAATCCTGCAGCTTCCTGCTGCCGTGTTGATGTATAAACTCCACCAGCCCCGCCACGACTTGACGCACAGCTTCCAGACACTCGGTGCATTCGATCCAAGCGGGTATCGCGGATTCTGGGAAAGATAAAATCGGTCTATTGCGATTTAATCATGTAAGCATAGTATCAATTAAAAAAACCAGAACATTGTAAAGTGGTAAATGAAATTAAAATTCGTATCATTCATTCTCCCACGGTGGCGTTCCGAACAGTAAACCAACGTTGTTTAATGATCATTTCCAGCAAGCATCCAACAACATTAATTTAACATTAACATTAAAGTTAGGAAAAGTAAATGCTTATTTTCTACCTCTTTCACTGGAAATTGTGTGTGTGTGTGTGTGTGTGTGTGTGTGTGTGTGTGTGTGTGTGTGTGTGTGTGTGTATGTGTGTGTGTGAGTATGTGTGTGTGAGTATGTGTGTGTGTGTATGTGTGTGTGTGTATGTGTGTGTGTATGTGTGTGTGTATGTGTGTGTGTGTGTGTATGTGTGTGTATGTGTGTGTATGTGTGTGTATGTGTGTGTGTGTGTGTGTGTGTGTGTGTGTGTGTGTGTGTGTGTGTGTGCGCGCTCGAGTGTGTGTCTGTGTGTACGCTCGAGTGTGTGTCTGTGTGTGCGCTCGAGCGTGTGTCTGTGTGTCCGCTCGAGTGTGTGTCTGTGTGTGCGCTCGAGTGTGTCTGTGTGTGCGCTCGAGTGTGTGTGTGTGTGCGCGCGAGTGTGTGTGCGCACGAGTATGTGTGTGTGTGTGTGGGCGCGCGAGAAGGGTGCGAGTGCGTGAGTGGGGGTGCGCAATTGGGAGTGCGAGTATGTGACAAAGTGTGTGCGAGTGCACAAGTGGGAGTGGGAAGGCGCGAGTGGGAGTGGACGCACACCCGCGCACGCACACACTCGCATAATGATTTCTGATACACTATACTTAGAGGGCGTTAGTTAGTGAACCTGGAGCCTACACTTATACCAAATAGTTATTTTGTACATTCAAATTGTTTTAATAGCACAACGAGACCCCTGATTGAAAAAAAAAATTATTATGGTTTGGAGATAAAACTAGGATTGGTCGCATTGTTTTTATAAGAGGTTCATGTTTGCCTTGTATTTTCTATGCTGATATTGTTTAAAAAATAGTTCTTGTGGTATAGTTTGTCTTTATTCAACCCACTGTTCTACATTAAAAACTTACCAGTTCTGAATCAAAACACAAAAAAACTTGCTCTATTAATGGATGTCAGTAAAGAAATATTTACTACCAATTATACTTTTTTTGTAAAAATGTTATTCCTTACTCAAAACAATCTAACAAAACATTTACCTTATCGACAAACCGGAAGCAACGCAATTTATGGATACTTGTGATTTTGTCATATAAAACACACACACTCGCAGACATACTCGCACACTCCCACTAGCGCACTCAACTGACATCCATTAACAGAGCCAGTTTTTTTGTGTCTGGATTTAAAACTGGTACGTTTTTCCTTTAATGCAGAACAGTGGGTTGTATAAAGGCAAACTATACCAAAAGAACTATTTTTTAAACAATATCAGCATAGAAAATACACGGCAAACATGAACCTCTTATAAAAACAATACCACCATTTCCAATTTTACCTCCAATGCATAGTCAGTCAGTCAGGGTTCTCATTGTATTATTAAAACAATTTGAATGTACAAAATAACTATTTGGTATAAGTGTAGGGTCCAGGTTCACTAACGCCCTTGTGTATCAGAAATCATTAACGAATTTAAGACAGAAAGAAAGGTCGAGACAATATTCAATTAGAGGGTGAGTGTGAACTATTTTGCTTCAAGTAGGTGCAAAATCAGTAGATTAAGAAGATTGGATTTTATCATCTGAGATGATAGGGTGATGTAAGGGTAGAGGATAAATAATAAAATGTTGGCTGCGAAAAATTTCATTATTCTAAATTTATTTTTTCCATTTGCAACATAGGTGCTACAAATTTCAGGAGCAGGATTGGGCCAGGCTTGAGGTGTGGCTGTTGGAGCATTACCATGTAGATAACTTCTACATGATGGATGGTTAGGAACAACCTGGGCGAGCTTGTAATATCTGTCCACCTTTGCAATATCATATATTTTTCGTTTTTAAATTTCACTACACATTTTCAGTTGCAGTAAGTAAGTTGGAGAAAATCAATGGAAAAATATAAAGTGCCATACGTGGCCAATTAAGAGCCAATATCCAATGAAGTGTATGCAACCTTGAGCAGCAACACTGTCAGAATGACTTCTTTGCATGGTTCAACATATTCTTTGATAATTTAGGTAGAGAGCAAATACTATTGTTCTTGTTGTCTTGAATTTCTTTGTAGACCTTCAGTATTATTACCTCTTTGTCGTTCCTTAATTGTTATATTTTATATTCTAAATTATTATCTTTTTGTTCCTGTTGTGAGTTGAACTTCATAATTTTGCTTCTCCCCTTGTTAAATAAATAAACAAATAAAAACAAACTAATAAAAAACTGTCATATACCTGGACTGGGATCAATTGCAGCCAGCAACTCCAAAGGATTCCTCAAAACAGATAATTTTCCTGGATCACCTGTCCTTTGCAATGCTATAACCAATTCTTGCACGGACTGTGCAAATGATTGAGGTGTTTGCAACTTGTCTATGATGCTCTGCATGTGGGATTTGTGTGCCGTGTCTCCATATAGGAGGGCGGACCACTGATCAGGCGCGATCCGGAGCCCCGCTTCAGTAGCAATTTGCACTATCTGCGCATCATGTTCTCGTCTAAGCGCTTCATATGTTCGAAATTCCTCCTTAAGTTGCATAAGCGAGGAATCTCCTTCCCTTTTGGATACCTATATAGGTTATAAAAAAGCATCTCTCACATTATTTCCTCAGTGAAATCAATATCAATAATTACCTTAAAGCAGGAAGCTCGATATAGCAACTGCACAACATGACCGATGCTGGTTTTAGATGCTTGAGGAAAATGTGGTTCCAGCCTCTGTACCACAAACATTACTAGAACTTTCCGAGATAAAGCTGAACCGTCTTCCAAAGCTAATAGAACCAATTTCAATACTTCTTCTTGCATGGCTGCAAAATAGATATTTTATCATTTGTCAACCCCAAGATCCATAAAACTATTGATTTGGTAGAGAAAAACAAATATCGCACCTGGTCCCAAAAACTGGCACCCTCTAGCCCTAACTGCAGCCCAGAGATTTGCTGAAAGCTGCTGAGGGTTTTGATGTTGCAAAATTAATTCAGTAACTGTACGCTCCCCCAAAGACCTTGCTGCTCTCATTGCCCTTGTTCGACCTTCTTCTTCCACCAGCTGACAGTTAATTAAAGTTACTAACTTCCTTTGCATTGGTCTTGATAAGATACTTCCACTACCACAAACACTGCCATTTGGATAGGGCCTTAAATACAATGCCAATTCTTCTACATATTTTTTGCATTTCAAGTAGTGATTAAAGTGTTCTCGGGGAATGATTTTGCTATCCACATCATCACTGTCATACTTTAAATTGGGCCCGACTAATTGCAACAAAGCTGTATTTACAGGTAAGTTTTCTATGTCTATGCTTATTGTGGTCTGATCGAAAGGACACTGCTTTCGATGAAGGTTTGAGAGACATGCTTTACATATTGTGTGACCGCAGCCCAGGCTTATGGGGCTGCGCAATTTATCATCGAATGCATTGCAACATACTGGGCAACTTAGAAATTCCGTCCACGGTGGAGCCTGTATCGGCATTCTATAAAAGAAAATAATAATAAGAAAACCATTCTTTGGAAATCACCTAAATATCAAAATCAGGTGATGACACATAGAGTGCAATGTGGCAAGATCACTTGCAAAAATAGCACTAAAACTACCTTGGATATATATGGACACTTCTAATAAAAAAACCTTTAAATATAAATTGAAAACAGCTCACATTTACCTTACTAAATCTCTCGAAGAAAGTAGATTTTCACATTATGACGATGAATTCACATTTGTGTTGTGAAATCGTTCTCGAATGTCAGACGTCATACGAAAACAAAACGTCACGATTGCACATTGCCACTTTTACTCAATTTTCTCTTCAATCAAAAGTAACATCTAAATTTAAAAAGAAATTTAATTAAAATACGATATGTAGGCGTTTTTTTATTACTTACACATTATCTAAAGAATATTTCACAGACCATACTATATGACTGAAGCTACTGATTTGTTATTCATTTAATGATTATGAAATGTACGGGACTTTTGCAATAAAACGGATGGATGTATATTGTATTTAAAATATTGAAAAATATGGAGATGGTGCGTAATAAAATATCAGTGGAGCCAAACTCTATTTCGAATTTCTTACAATTTTTAATAATTACTAAACTGGCAACGTTGCATTACATTTCAATTTTGTAAACATTTGCCCGTTGTTCCTGTAGCACTAGCAGTGAGCACAAAACCAGAATGTAACAGAACGTAAACAAAGGGGACTGAAAGGTAACCTCACATTTTTAATTTCAGCTTATGGACATTCTACTTAACTAGTTTCTGTCTGCAGCACGTGATGGTTTCCAGAACTTCTGCTCTGCTTATATAACAAACTTAGCTTAGTGGCTCTATTGGCTAAACTCATTTGCTCAAACGTTACCAAAATTGATCATGGATTAAATAGCTAGAATGATAATTAAATGTGTGATAACTGTTGCTATATTCTTTATAGTAATTGCTATATATTTCCCTGCCCGCCACGCGAGGCGTTACGACTATATAAGATTGGAAAACGTTTCACGAGAATTAGTTCTTAAAGTGAGGCAAGGAAGCGAAGAAAATCTTCCAAAATGTGCTTATGACGATGTGATTTTGAATAATCAGCATATTGAAGTTAGCAAAATAAATTATTTTAAAACATTTATCAAGCCAAAAGCAGGTGAGTATTGGGGTTAAACTACCCGTTCTTTCATATAAATTCTTGTATTATTATTCAACTTAATTAAATTATTTAAATTCTCTGTTTTTTACTGCAACTATTTTAGAATATTGTTAAATAATCCCTGTTTCTTTATTGAAAGTGTAGTGTTTGGCAAGAGTCTGAAATTTGCGCTTTTTATAGGGGGTGAATATGTTCCTAAAAATTGTTCTGCATTGATTAAAACAGCCCTTATTGTCCCCTATCGGAATAGAACTGAACAGTTGACTCTATTTGTTAACTATATGCATACTTTTCTGCAAAATCAGAACATACATTATCGTATTTTTGTGGCTGAGCAAAAGGATATGCTACCATTTAATCGGGGTAAAATGATGAATTATGGAGCCAAACTAGCAATGGAACTCGAATATGATTGTCTAATTTTGCATGATGTTGATCTCATTCCTTTGACCACTGGAAATCTATATGGTTGCTTTAATAAACCGAGGCACATGTCTTGTAATCTGGATAGCTTCAGGTATAATCTGCCCTATTTAACTCTCTTTGGAGGTGCCACTGCAATAGTGTCAGACCAATTTAAGAAGATTAATGGAATGTCCAATAAATTTTTTGGGTGGGGAGGAGAAGATGATGAATTTTATAGGTATGTTTTGATAAAAGTTATTGCTTCTTTCTTAAAGAAATAGGTACATTTCAGCCGTTTACAATCTGCTAATTTAGTGCCGTACAGATTTTCACCAGAAATCAGTAAATATAGTATGCAGGTCCATAAACGGGCATTACCCAGGTAAGCCATGGTTTTAATTTTTTGATCCTAAACCCTTTTCCATGTTATGTTTCAGCAAAGATAGATATGAAAAATTAGAAAATTCTGCTGATTACAGAAACAAAGACGGACTTAACTCATTGACGGGCCAATACTCTGTAGTCCTTGAAAAGTTGTTTACAAGAATTCTCATTTATTGAAAGACAGCACCACAGTGTGAAAATACTTTTTTGATTATTAGTGTTCTTTAACAGATATATAGAGACATCACTACTGCAGTTATTAGATTTTGTATGTGAATATTATTGATTGAATCAATCAGGTGGTACATTTACCATTTATCTTTAAATTGAACTGGTTCTAGTCTGCCTGTCTCGCTTTTACTGTAGGTCAAACTGATTAATTACAAAACTGAGTCTAGTTTACACTTAAAATTTAATAACTGTGCATAAAATTAATTTATAACTGACTAAACAAAACATATTCCTAGAATTATTTGATCATGTTTATTGTGTAAGACAGCATAGGTACTTATTTATATTAATTGGTAAAATTGTGGTAGAAATTATTTATTTTGTGTAATCCAGTATTATTTATTTTTTTATTTAACTGAAGTCGATTGATTTTTTTCTGGTGGCTGCAACAGGTTTGTGATATTTTTTTTATTTGTTAAGTATAATAAATGGATATTGATAGAAAGTACTTTTATTCTAAGCTCCCTTCTAAACTAGTAAGACCATATTATGAATTAAATGGTTTATTCATTAATAAATAATATACATGTATTGACTTAGGCATGTATCATTTTCATATCTTAATCTAGCCTTTGTACAGTGCCCTATATACAAACAAAACCTACTCTAAAAAAATGTGTTCCTTTTTACATAAATCACATAATCTTTACAAATAAATTAGGGAAGGAATAAAAAAATTGATCACTCTAAAATCTATTAAAATATGCTCATAGCACCATCACATTTATATTAAAAAATCGCTGGTAAAATTTTACTTTTCAATTGAAAATTATAATTTATGTACTAGAGATTTTTTGATGATCAGTTTAGATGGAAACAATGTACCTCTGCAAATTTTAAGCAAAACTTTACCAAAATTAGGTTCCTAGAAAATATCACTAAGTGAGTCTTTGCCACAGTGATTAAAGTGTTGCCAGAATTCTTGTAAAGCCCATACAGCCCATGATAAATGTTTGACCACAGCCCCAGAACATTGCATATATTGGATTCATTGGATAACTTGACGCTCTGTATACAAAAGCTATAGCAGCACTGCTCACGATACCAGTCACAGCAGGCGTAATGACGCCCATAAAAAGTATTGCTATTGGAAAATATTTCCCATATTTGTGTTTCCGTAATGTCAGAAATGCAATAAGAGCTGCAATCTAAAAAGAGAGATCATAAGTAACCTAGCTCTATAATAAAAACAAACTGCTTACTGTGTGCACTATGATCGATGACAACAAGGCCCATAGAAATACATGATACCACATTTTCGAGAAGGTGTTTAATGCATCTACCTGGAGAGAAAGCACGGTTCTCACATCCATGGTTTTGCGTCCTTGTGCGACTTTTTTATTTTAAGTTATACAACCTGGACTACTGCTAGGTTCCTCCATTGTGACCCGTCTAATCCTATAGAATGCGATAAGAAAACCTTACATAGTCGTCATTGATAACCCAGTACACTTATCATAATGATATCCCCGAAAGAATTTTAACACTCACGTCACATTTTTATACATTTACTTCAGTGCTTTATCACATACTTTCGAAAAATTACTACCCCTAAAAATTAACCACTTTGTACATTTTTAATCAAAATATCAGAAAAACATTGTTTTTAAATTGTCAATTGTCAATTGGTACCTACCATGGAAATACATCAATTCAATTCAATGATGCGTTTCACAGATAGCTGTTGGGCACGACTACCAGGATCATTCGCCCATTCCCGACTTCCGTCGAGGATTTTCGCTTCTGGTCAATGACCACCACGTACAAAGAAGAAAAATAACCAATAATTTGCTCAGCTAGCAAAAAACGATTCTGACCGATACCAAAAAAATCGGTTTCCCCCCGCTTCCACCACGGACCATTCGGACCCATCCGGCCTCCATACCGGCGTGAACGGGGAAAAACGACGGGGCCGACGACGATTATCACTTTAAGACGTACACTGAACACTCAAAACACTAAATCCACACCGTGGAAACCGATATCAAACTTTTTGGGACGAATACATGGGATTCTGTCGGGAGCGAACAGAGGTTAAACCGCCGCGTGCAATGGTCCCATGACAGACCATGGAAATAGTAGTAGTTCAATACGTTTCACATAACTGTTGGGCCAGACTGCTAGGATCATTTGGCCATTGCCGACTTCCGTCGTGGATTTTCGCTTTTGGTTAGTACAGTAGTACTTTGGTACAAAGAAGAAATATAACCAAAATTTGCTCAGCTAGCAAAAAACGACTTTGACCGATAACAAAAAACCGACGTCCCCCCGCGGACCATCCGGCCATCATACCGGCGTGAACGGTCAAAACAGCGGGGCCGGCAGAACCTATACACTTAAGAACGATCACCAGAAAGTTCCGAAACACAATCACACAAAAAAAGACCGATATTAAAGTTTTTGGGACGATTACAACGGATCTGCTAGGAGCGACAGCAGGTTAAACCCCCGCGGGCAATGCTCCACCATGAAAATAGTTTCACTTATAACCAAAGACAAAAAAAAACTGTGGTCAACTTTTAACGGATGGTTGTAGTGCGCGAATGAATCCATTATAACTGCCCAACTAAATGTGAGTATTAATGAAGAAAAACTTTAGTTCATTTTTCCCGATTATCTTAAAGTAATATTAATTTGCAATGGTAAGTGGGATTAAACAATTTAGGGAAGGGCATTTTAAGGCATATTTAAATATCAAATTTTATAAGCAATAGGCTTAGAATAAAGTAGACGTTTTACGTTTCTACCGCTAGATGTCATGAATTCTGGATGCCAGTGATTTTCTTTTTGAGAAAGGAAAGGATATGATAGAAAAACGGGAAGTAAAATTGTTAAATAGTGGAAGTCGCAGTGCTGTGTTTACTTAATTTGGACACAATTTTTGTGATATTTCTGTTTTCACTTGTTAATTTCTTTTATACCGAGTTCAATTGAGGGATTTTTTATTTATAACATATTTCATTATTAACCTATTCCTTTTGTAACCTTGCTTATCGAAAATGAATACGGAAAATTTCCTTGAAGATAGCGACTCCAGTGACGAAGATTACGTTCCGGATGGTAAAGAAGAAGCCGTGTCTGAATTGGATTCTGATGGAGAGTTGATAGAAACGTTGGACGGACGTGATAGTGAAAAAACTTGGGACAAAGGCAAAACCAGGAAGCGCACGAAGAGAGTGACACATGTAAGGAAAAAGGTTAGGAAAAATCAAGAGAAACAACAGGAAGAAGAAGGTATCTCCATATATTTGAAAATTATCCTTTTTTTGTTATATAATGGTCTACTTCATTGCAGTTCTGGAAACACCAGAAAATCCAAAGTTAGACTCAGCAAAAAAAGAGTCTGAAGAGGATTTGTGGGCCGATTTTATAAAAGACACTGGTTTTCGATCAAAAAGTAATAAATATGAACCTCCTAGGAAGCCTATTGAAAACATGCCAAATTATTCTGACAAGGACAAACCTGGACTTCAAGAAAAGTCAGTTGTTGCTGAAAAATCAAATGCAAAAGTTAAAATTACGCAGATATTTGAATTTGCAGGTGAAGAAGTGAAAATTGAAAAAGAGGTAAGTAATAGTTAAAGTGTATTACAATGTGTACTACTAAATTATTATTGTAATGTATGCTATTGATTTTGTTGTTTCAGGTGGATAAAAATTCTGCTGAAGCCAAACTTTTAGTTAAAGAACCACCCAAAAGCACCAGGCCTAGCAAAACTGGTGGATTGAGTGGAATTGGAAATGTATTAAGCCAACTTGGAAAGAAACAGAAAATTAGTACTTTAGAAAAATCTAAATTAGATTGGGACAGGTTTAAGAAGGAGGAGAATATAGAAGAAGAACTTCAGACACACAATAAAGGCAAGGATGGTTATTTGGATCGGCAAGATTTCCTTCAAAGGGCTGATTTGAGGCGTTTTGAAATTGAGAGGGACATCAGAAACACAGAGAGGGCAAAACGGTTTAATAGCACCTTATAATTTTACGAAACTCAGTATTTTGAAAATGTATTTATTTGTTACATTCCGGATCTGATTTTTAAAGAACTGTGTTGGTATTTACAGAAAACATGTTCTGACAATTAAAGTATATGTACCTACTTAATATTGACTATTCAAAGCCTGTTGCCTTTTTATTTCAACCTGTATAGCGTTAATTGACTACACAAAAAAGTACACAGTTGGGTATACTAAATATTGTAAAAGGATACCTTTTTGTTAAGGGAAAAGTTATCAAAATCTTAAATTTTCCGCTCAAAGACTAAAGGAAAGAAACTCGCCAACTAATAGTCACTCTAAACCAAAATATTTGAAAATTTTAAATATGTTAAAAAAAATATCACTGCGCTTGCGACAACAAATCCGCAGACCATTTTGTCATCGAATTCTAAGATAAACTATTTAAGACGGTTGATTTGCGCTCTAAGTGTTACCGTTAGCAAAACTCAAAATAATTTAAAGAATTTACTGATTCTTCTATTCTCTATATTAATGCTATTGTCTTATTCTTTTTTCTACAAGAATTTCCAAATTACAATTTGTCAGTTTCGGATGAAATGGAATATTCATTTTCACCTGATAAACGATTTTTAATATTCTTAAAAATGGTGTATTTAGTTTTGACTTTTGCAACGAAATTATTTATAGTGATGTAAAATGATCTCAAAACGCAGAAATATTGTATTAGGTGCATGTGTCAACAATTCGCTGGAAGATTATCCTTAAACTGCCGACAGTTGCCAAACTGTTAGGAAATGATGAGTTGAAATCAGTTTCAAACTCATATGCAAATGATAAAGACCAATTGCGCACACCCTAAATATCCCTTTAAAGTAATACGAAAACAAGAATAACACCAAAAACAATTTTTTACCATTCAAAACGGTATATTTTGATAAATATTTTTTACTCTTTTGAAAACACTCAATTGCTATGTATTATGATATCTGACAGGATAAAGCTTAGGGCTCCCGGATTATCTACAGCCACCTGTAAATAAAAGAAAAATTAGTAGCTTTCGATATACAGCAAGGAACTATAGATACCATATGTCCAGATCGCGACACCCAATAGAATCGAAGATTTCCAGCGTTTTTCTGGAATCCTGTGTAGTAATCGTCCGCAACCAGTCCGTATCTAATACCATTTACCCATTCCGATGCATTTTTGAACTGAAGGTTGTTCACCCACTGCTCAGTTCCTATGAAATTAATTTCCATTTATTTTTTGCCCCTTTCTACCAAGCACGCATAATAATTGACAAAAAACTGAATGCGATAGTCTTATTTTTTTATGGATTTTAAGTGAAACGCCCAATATATGTCTGTAACTTTTCTTTCATTAGTTTTAAAGAAATGAAATGATATCTTTTTATTCTGTACTAATTAGTAAATATATATAAATATAAATTTCTAAAACTACTGGATGAATTATTATAGAAACAAATTTGAAATCAGCAAGTATGGACCAGCGTGTTCCGTTTAAAAAAATAAACGTTTATCATAGCTAAATCTTAAAGTTTTTAAAAATTATTTGAATTTTTTCAAAACATTAACCAACTTTTAATTTCTCAAACACATACGGTACGGTATGTAAGCGAACTCTACAGTGGACCATATTTTCTATCTCAATTATCAAAGCTTTCTGATTTTACATATGGTGGCCAAAAAATTATAATATTGTAAAATTGTATTGTAATACCAACTTTATTTATTAAACACCCTATTATTTAATTTATCCGGGAATGCACATATGGAATGGTGAATAGGGTGCACTAGTCTCAAGTCCCCGGTAAAAAATATAGAGTTTCATTTTCCGATTCTGAAGCTTTTGACAAGTTAAATCATTAGTTACTTTTTGTGATTTTGCATTTTATTGGGTTCTCGGAGAGCGCGATTGGACTTATTAAAAGCTATTTGCATTGCATTCTGCGGTTATATTCCACAGTATTATATATAATCACGGTCCCTCTTATCTAGGAAATTAGATTAAATACACAACCGACGTTCATAGTTTGAATTAATTTCCTTTCCTTTTCCCACCTTTATGAAAGACCGTTTTCTTATAACCTTTACATACTATACAACTGACAATTTAAATGTTTTCTTTAAAAAAAATACAAACAGTACCTCCTGGATGATGGGTAGTGCGGTAAATTATTCCCTAATTTTTAATAACGCATGTACATCCAACAATAGCATCATAAAACTTGGCTCATATTTCCCGATTTATAATTTTGGTGACATTTTTTGTCTTTGTTTTCCGATTATACATACTTTTGGGGCTGAACTTTGACCAGTTCCAAATTGCCTTCGGTTCCTTCTTGCGGTTAATTATATATAATTTATAGAAATATGTTTTCTGTAATTAATTTTCTGCGAATAAACTTTATTCATTATTATTATTATTAAAATTAATCAAGTCATTTAAATTTGTCATGAGATGAGGATAAAAGTTTGGCCACTCTGTATAATATTTTTTGATATTGATATATGTGGTTACTATACTCCAAATTTCGCTCACACAATTAAAATACTTATTACGTATTTCAGAAATGGAAATTAGATTAATTTTTGACAAAACACAAATTATTTAAAAAATCTTAAATTTAGAATCCAAAAATGCTATAACATGGGGTTCCATTTAAAAAATATACAACTTTGACATTTTTAACACTTTTGGGGTAACCTGTATACTATGAATGTAATTTTAAAACATTACCTTATCAGTACTTTACACATTCCAAAATCAATTTTTGTTGAAAATCTTTAATTTATACGGGAAACCCTGTAGATACCTATCGTGTCGACAATTAAATCTAATTGTCCATTATAGACCCCCACGATGATGTCAGTTTCGTTTAACAGTTGTTCGACAATTTTTGTAACGGACCGCATGAAATCGTCCTGTAGATAAACGAAAACGTCATCTCCTTGAGAACCCCAATTGTGAGTAACGTTCAGTGCCGGGGCAACTTCTTTTTTCATTAAAGTTTCAATTTCATCTTCCGGACCCGCAGGTTTGAACAGAATATTTCCGAAACCTACGGAAAAAAAATTGAATTTTGCAGAAGAAAGATCCTAAACCTGATGCTCACCATTTTTTTTGTTGCGAAAATCGGCCCGAATCGGTGTTAAGATGTTGTAGAAGTCTGCATTTATCGTGTAAGAATCAATGTCATTTTCCAGTTCGAAAAAAATGCGGAGTAGTTCGGTGTAATTCCCTTGACTTTCTGCTACTTTGGCCTCCTCTACCACTTTATCGAAATGACCGTAGGCTGATTTATCAATCATGCCCTACGAACAAAATATATTTATGCATTTCTACTAAATTATCCCAATTGCTTGAACCATATAACTATATTAGATGATATAATAGCTGCAAATAGCACAACACACAGTTAACGCGATTTCCTTGAAATTTTTCTAAATACTGCCTAAAAAATGCCACATCCAAACTGAAAACTGTGCAACTGAGGAACTGCCCGCGGCCATGTTGATTGTAGAACGTCGAATACTGCTGGTCGAAAGCGAGATGGGAAATAAATCGCGCATGCGCTTATTGAATGTCCTCACTCAACAGCATAGGTAAGGCCTTATATATCTAGTATTTATATGGATTGAATGAATTAAATTTACCATATTGTATAAATAGGTGTGCCAAGTGGTTATGGAATCGATTGGGGAAATCCACGCATCGCCAAGACCTACTCCTTTTAGGTTACATTTAATTGTGCCATTTTTTACAGCCTGAAACAAAAAAAGCTGATGGTGCTCATTCTCAACATTTTCTTTTGTGTTCATTTTGTAGATCTCAGTTTATTAAATTAAATGTTCACAAAAAAAGTTTCACGATTTTTATTTATTCACTCGAAAACGATGGAAGATTCATTTAAGATTCAAAGAAGTTTTAATTATTTGCGGCTTATCGAAAAAAAATGAAAAAATTGCAAAAAAGTCAATGGTGTACATTTTTTTTTCAATAATATTCTTTACGATACCTCCTCGGACGGCACTGGACAATTTTATAAAAAAAAACGGTGTTTTTAAAAATTTACCACTTGTCTTGAAAATACTTTTATGATTTCATCAACAGCAATTTCTTGCGTCGTTAGCTCAATATTTTGCCAATGGATTTTAAATTAAGCAAAACTAATTTTCTATAATTAAGGTATTACGGTATTATCTAATCTTGATACAGGCAACCCTAGCAGGCTTGCAAATGAAAAACGAAAAAATAAGAGTAGTAGTCGGAATAGATGAAGCTGTTGATATTTGAAATCAGAAAACGTATACTGTTGTAAACATGACAGCGGCTTAAATCTAACCTGCAATAGTACATTATGCAACAAGTGCGGTAAACGGTATTTGACTCACGAGTTTTTAATAAACGAGTGAATTAATAGTATATTATGCAACAAGTGCGGTAAACGGCATTTGACTCACGGATTTGGGAGCACGGATTTGGGAGCAATCGGATGTTTTCGGAGATATTTCCCGCATTTTGAATTTTGACGTTTGTCAATTCTGACAGTGATGTCAGTGAATGTATTCGTGTTTTGCGAAAATGTACCGAAAAACTAACGATCGTAGAAAAAGTATAGTAAGCAACACGTCGGTAAACTTTTTAACTCACTCGTTCATTAAACACTCGCTCCGCTCGTGTCAAATAAACTCGTGAGTCAAATGCCGTGTATCGCACTTGTTGCATAATATGCTATAACAATTGTGCGAACAATGTGATAATGTTTTTGTTTTTTTTTTATTGTTTTATAATATTGATATCCATAATAATATGGAAAAAAAACGTGTGTTGTTTTAAATTAAAAACAATCATGGGATTCTACAAAATTTCCTATTAAGCATGGAAATAAGCCTCACTCACCCAATATACATGAAGAGCAATCTCGGCCGTCATTTTTCCGCCATAAGATTCACTGAAAATATACAAAGGCACCTTTTCAAAGTCTGGAAGTCTTTTATAGAAACTTCTTAGTAGTTCGATGAAGTCTTTTGCAATTTGAGTGTTGTTCGTCGCATAAGCTTCCGGATAGTCGACATAACTGAATCCGGTGCCAACTGGATTGTCCACAAAGAGAAGATTGGCGTAGTTTAACCATGTAGTGTTTCGAGGCTGCTTATTTGCGTCCCATGGGCCGATTTCCACGAAATTGCCGTACCTACGTACAAAGCGAACTCGTCTCTAGTTGACCACAAATTATATATTATTTATTACCCTGTGGACGATACTCCCGGCCCGCCCTGTAACCATATCACCAGAGGTTTTTCAAGCGGGTTTTGAACAGCGTTGGTGTAATGCATCCACCAAAATATATGGGCACCATCGCGGACGGTAGCGTATCCCCATTCTTGGTCAGTTGGTCCGAAACCTTGTCGGCCTGGCAGAAATTACACTAAAGATTTGTTTCGTCGACGACCATAAAAATGTAATATTTTATTTATTGCGACACAGGAGAAATCGAGGATTGTACTACAAAATCCACAGCCTGCTGAATACTTTTTTGTATAAGCAAGCACGATTTGTGGCTGCAACCTTCATAACCGATCGTCATTAAGTGATAGTATTTAAGTGATTATGAATTGAAAAGATTAGCTGACGTGCAACTAATAATACAGACCTATTCGAATCGAAATATATTGGGTAGTGTCACTTACCAAGTACGATCACTATTAGATTGGACAAAATGAATACGCCTTTTCTTGTTTCCATCGCGTAACTGTATGGCGATTGCAACAAAAAACGCTTTGGCTGTACTTGCCACAAGCGTTGATAATAAATAAATTAAGTAGTTATCATTTCAAGTGGCGGTTGGTAAAACTTCAAATACAGTTGGCGCATTTTTTTATGAAGAAATAGAAACATGAATAACAATGATATTTTCAAACAAGTTTATGAAATGAATTCTTGAAAAAATCAATAGTTAAAATGCTACGGCACGTATCTTTGCGACATGCCGCAAATCAGACGTTCTTCAGGATATTCCAAGATATTCTTATGTCACGACCTGCACGATGTATGTCTAGTTAAGGATGTGGCAACCGACTCAGCGTTTTACCTTATCATATCCCATACATGTTCAATAGGGAATAAGCCCGATGACCTTGCGGCCAAGCCAAGGAGGGTTAGATTTGATTCTGCAGTAACTGCAGGAGCATGTGGTTTGCTATTGGCTATATTTTATTTATTTATTAATAAAAACTGGGTTATTTTTAACATGTTTAACATTTTTTGCCCTATATTGTTGAAGTTTCTAAAACTAATTTTTGGTTATATTTTTTTGTAATAATGGTTTTTAATTATTCTACTTAAGTCTTAGTATTATTATTATTATTATTATTACAAAGAATAAAGTGCAGAGGAAACCTATTATGCACATTGATAAGTAGCATGAGAATGTTATACATATAATAAATATTTTGCAATTTGCATGTCTGAAACCAAATCTATTTTTTTATATATCAGGAAAGTTTAATTATTAATAACAAATATCAAAAACAATATCGTACAATTGTTCATGCTTAAATTAAAAAATATTCAGCACTGAGGATTGTAATTATTTTTGCTAGGGCAATTTAATTATGCACATTGATAGTTAGTAGCATGAGAATGTTATATATATAATAAATATTTAGTTATTGCTGTGAAACAATACACTGTCCAAGCGACGTTTAAATACAGACAACATCTGGGGGTAAACTGTTCCAATAATGTTACTTATAAAATGCAGGCGATGTGAAGTCCTGAATTGTTCCTTTTTTATTTTAAATGGATGACCACGTAGGCGTTCATCATTGCTTAATACCACAAAGGGCACGTCAGATGGAAATTGGTCATGCACAAACCTATACATTTGAATGAGATCCCCTTGCAGCCGACGCTGACTTAATATTGCAGACTAAGTATCTTGAGACGGTCATCGTAAGGTGTATGTCTAAGTTGAGTGGCCAGCGCGTAGCGGCTCGTTGCACTCTTTCCAGAACATCACAGTCACGCAATAGCCATGGATTCCAGACTTGGGAAGTAAATTCTAGGATGGAGCAAATGTAAGTGGTATAAAGTCTGCAAGCGATGCGAGGACTAGGATTTTTAAAAGTCTTTTTTAGCAATTATAATGCGCAGTTTGCTTTCTTTGCAATATTTGATATATGTACAGACCATACAAGATCATTAGTTAATGTCACACCTAGGTCCATCTGAGAATCCACACTTGACACAAAGTTGAAGACATAATAGTTCAAACCGAGAATGTTCTTGGCAACATGCAGCACAGAGCACTTTTGAGAATTCAGCGGCAATAGCCCAATTTAAACACCACTTGGAAATAGTATTCAAGCATCTCTGCAATGCGTCCGCATATGTTGAAGGATTTTCAAATAATTTAGTCTCATTAGCATAAGCTCTCACATGAGAATCAATGCTGGAAAGCAAATCCACGGTATACACTAAGAATAGCACTGGTCCCAGAACCGATCCCTGGGGAACACCATTAGGCACGTTTTGTGGCAGTGAAAAAGAGTTACCAATTCGAACTCTGAACGACCGGTGGCTTAAAAACGCCGCTATCCACTCTAGCAGTTTACCCCCTACTCCGACCTTTTCAAGTTTGAATAACAAGCGTCGATGTGGCACTTTGTAGAAAGCTTTGCTGAAGTCGGGGTAAATAATATCAACCGGGTCACCCGAGTCAAGAGATAATGTCCAGTGATCTGCCGGGAACAAAGCCACGCTGCGATGTAAGTATAATATGGTAGTCGATCAAAAACGGTAATAGTTGATTTACTATAAGGCGTTCAAGAACTTTACATATAATACACACTAGGCTGATAGGGCGGTAATTTGAAACATCGGGCTTATCACCCTTTTTATAAATCGGTGTTACATTTGCGGATAACCACTGGGACGGGAGGGTGACAGAGTCCAAAGATTTTGCTCAAAATAATATAAATAGGCTCTACAAGCACAGCGGCACACGCTGTTAAGAGTTTACTTTAAATTCCATCAGGTCCGGGAGCAGAATATTCTTTTAACTCAGAAAGAGTTTTTTTCAAGTCGTCTTGGTCAAAGTGAATGTCTTCTAATAATTCTAGATTTATAGGACCCTCGTAGTGAGACGGTAGGTTAGCTGGTTCATCAGCAAAGACACCAGCAAAATATGAAGCAAATTCATTTGAAATGAAGTCCTGGTTATAGGAGACCTCTCCAGACAAATAAAACGCTTCGAGCCTATTGAGGAGGTCATTTTCGAATGCTGACTTCGCCTCTCTAATCTCCAAGGATAAACTATTAGAAACTCTTCTGTGCAAAGCATAATCGGAAGCAGAGCCAGAGGCTTTAAATTTAAGCCACAGAGCTCTCTTATGTTTTATTTGTTTGAACAGATGTCTAGTTAACCAATGTTTTTCAGAATTGAGCTTAACAAAATGAGTTTTGGAGCCTGTGAATATGTAACAATCCAGAGTAGACATAAAATATGTCCTGCATAACATTTTGCGATAATTGACCTGCTTGGGATAACATAAGGCTTGAATACAAAATTATGGTGCAATCGGGAATCGAAGGCTTTAACCAGGTTTCGGTTATTAGAATACAGGCAGGTTTAACGGAACTCACATAAGCAACAAGAAGATCTAATTTGGCAGACAATGGGCAAAGATTGGTGTAAACAATAGGCAAAGAACCAACGTTTACTTTTTTGGAGCCGAGATGTTGACGATTGAAGGGCCACCTTTAAAATATTTGATTGTTAATTGCTTTTCACCTCTCTCGTGTCCGTTCTTCAGTTCCTTCCTTTTCTGCTCCAAAAAGTCGTCCTGAGAGGGCGTTTGGTCGTCAAATATCTTAACATTCCTAAACTGTCCAGTAAGAGCTTGTTTTTCTGTTTCAGGATTTTTTTAACCACTTCAGGATTTCCAACTACGACCTTTAGAGGTCGAACTCTAGAGCTTTCCCCGTCAGCACGAAGGGCTCCCAGCCGAAATACCGAGACATTTAGAACTTCATTCGTTATCTAATATATATATATATATATATATATATATATATATATATATATATATATATATATATATATATATATATATCTCCGTTGCTGATTGCTTATCTTGATCTGGATCAGACTCAGGAAGTTTTAAGATGATAATATCCCCAGATCCCCTCCCGTATGCCGGGGGTGGGAGGAGAACTATTTTCTCTTTCCATTCTCTCCAACATCTTATTCAGCTCATCCAACTGTCTATCTATTGCCCCAAGTTTTTTAACTAGTTGATCAAGTTTGTTCTCTTGCTTGCTGCATTTACCGCAGAATATTCTAAAATTTTTTAGTTTGCTGCGCGTCATACAAGAAGCTGCCTCCTTCGACAGCCCCACACAGTCGGCCTGCACATCCCAGTTACTACCACTACACTTAACACTGGGCCTTTGAGAATACAGCGATTTATATAGTAATTAGTATTTTTTATAATAATAATTGGGAGATGATCTTTTCATCGTCTATTCACTAGACTTCCGATGAAGAACTGAGCAACGATCCATGTTGGAAGAGGCGGAAGTGTTTAGGTGCAAATCATTATGCTTCCTTCGCTTACAGAATACATAATTAAATCGTCTCATAAACTTTTCAATTTTTTGGAGTTATTGTAATTTCCTTGACGAACTTGTTGACTTTTTCTAAGCAATAACCCAAAAACCGGATTAAAATTGATTTTTCCCATTACAAAGTTCAACAGTGGTTCCCTATATACTTAGATTTTTCCTGTCTAATATTCAGTTTCCCAATAGTACTGGGACAAGCGGAACCAAATATAAATTCACACTTTCAAGCATTTGTTTATTGTCCTCAAAAGAATCATGCAGAAATGCATATGCAAATTGCATCGTGTCCACCGTGCTTTAGAATTGGTTTGATTTAATTTTTGTATAATCCCAACGAACATTATATGTAATACGTTGTTAATAAAAATTACTAGACACAACTACTAAATGTCGGAGGTAATGCAGAGCAACAAACGCTTCAGTTCAGATGATATACCGAACGAACAGGAAATATCGCAAAGTTTGGCATCGTCGCAACCATAACAATAATCCAAATCCAAAATGATTCCGTCCCAATCAGTCGGTCTTAAGTCGCGCAGAGCGCTTGGTGTGCGATGTGCCTGTCATCCGTTTAAGTTTGATTTTGTTTTCATTTTGGTGCATGATGTGTTTCGTTTGACGTTTTCATGATTGCGTTTCGTTTCGCGACCCTTGTCGCCAAATAGTTTTTTTTTATTTATTTTTTTTGTTGACGATCGCCATGCCACAGCCGATGGACCTCCTCCCCACTTCGCAGGTAAGGGCGGCTTGATCGATACGATGATTTCATCCCCTATCGGCGCGCAGCGTGCGACGTTGGACGGCGGCGGGGAAATTTTTGTTTATCCTTCCGACTCGGAAGAATTTTCGAATTTTATCGAGACAGAGTTGCGTTGCAATCGGAATGTTTCATTTAAGCGGAATCGGAATGTTCTTTCTCTTAAATACGGTTTTAAAGAGAGCAGGTTGTTGAATTTTTCCGGGCCTCGCAAAACAAACGATCTACCCAGCGGGTCTATTAGTTTAACGATAAGATAAAGATTATCTGAAACATGTATTTCGCAAATTTATACGACCCAATATTTGCTGTAAGCGATATTATTATATAGGAAATTTGTCGATGACTTAGAAATTCCGAAATGCAAATCTGTTTGGGTAAAATGACGTTGGGGTGTTGCTCAATGGTGCATCAATAGGAAGGGGATAATTGTTGCGGTCATTTTAAGGGAAAAACGTCATATTCTCAATGCGACTAATAATAGAAAACCAAATCGTATATCCTCCGTTCCAACAGATTAAATTTCGAAAATCATTTAGCACTGGGTAGTCATAATTGAGGAGTTAAAGTCTGTTCATAGATACGAGTATAAGAAAGTGACTAACTGATACGAATTAAGGAAAGACCCGGGCAAGTTGCAAGAATGAAATATGGCCGAACAGGTCCGTACATTGCTCAGAATTTAATTGTTTGGAGTTTTGTTAGGAAAGATACTAAACAATATTTATTTATTTATGTATGTATTTTTGTTTAAATCTAAAATAAAATTACAAATTATTTTTATTACCTACTAAAATTACTTAACATTATTCACGTAATATATTAGTATCACTATCGCTATCATCGCCTGTTCTAATTATTATTTGTTCGATATTATTTGCAATACGGATATACGATTGTTCTGCTTTTTCTATTTATTTAACAGAATTTGCCCAACTTTGTGGAGGGACATTAAAAACTTCGGTTTCTATAAGTTTGAGGATATTGGAGTTATGTGGAGGATATACAGTGGTAAGGTGGAAGGAAGCCTTAAAACTGTATGCCCTATATTTTTTGCATATTTATCACAGACGTATTCCTTTTGTAGGTTCAAGCTTTGTAGAACCTCAATTATTTGCTTTTTGGTATAATCTTCGTGAATATAAATGTCGTTATTATACATGTAGTTTTGGATTGTTGCTTTTGTGTCACATAAGGAAGGGGTTTTAGTCAACAGTCTACTGTGACAACTTGCATTGTCCATTACAATGAAGCTATTAGGAGGAATGTCTGGAACTAGTTTGTTTTTAAACCAACTTTCAAATAAATCAGCCGTGGTGTCTTCATGTCAATCCAGAGAAGAATCTTTAATATTTTTCGCAGACAGAGAAAGTCCATTTGGAATCTAATCATCTTTAGAGCCAGCATGCAAAATAGTTATTCTTTTACCTCTTTTTGATTTCGCGTTTGTTTTACACTTATCAGTTGAGTCAACCCAACGCTTTTCCGGGGTATCATAAGTGTCGAACCAGGTTTCATTCAAGTAAATAATTGGCCTTTGTTGTTCTCTGTAAATCCTAATTTTTTCTAGATATTCCAGTCGCCATTTCCGAATTTTAAAAGATTCCATTAAAACTTGCCTTTTTTCAATTTTTTTAAATCTAAAACCCATGTGTTGAATACACTTCCATAAGGTAGTTCTGCCACATTTAACACCGGTTTCATCTTTTTCAAGCTTTTTAAGATATCTAATATAGGCACGCTATGTTCCTCGCATAACTGGTAAATTTTACGCCGTATTATATCTTGATCACTTTCATCTACACTCGAGAAAATGTCAGCATCACTTCTTTTTTTCCTCGCTGAAATGGGATTATTCACAATTTTCCATACGGTTGATGTTGGAATTTTCGTCAATGTGGCCGTTTCTTCTAAAGATGCTTGCTTGCTGGCACCACGTTTAATGAGAGTCAAATAAATATTGTTTATAACTTCCTTAGTCTCAATAGAATAGTGTTTTCTACATTTGGACGGGAGCATCTCCTGAGATACACATAATTCGCACACGAGTCAACACACGCTGTATTACACACGAAATAAGAATGATTACTAATAAACTTAAACTAAGTAGTATACCAAAACAAAGAATATTAAACACAGGTAGGTATAAAATATTCTATTACGGACCACAATTTTACCTGAATTTAATTTCCCAAACTTTAGGTAACAATCTTGTTGCATTGTATGTTAATGACCACCTTTGGATAATCCCATTCAAAAGCCATTGGTCACTTTCTTATATCTATGAACAGACCATACCATTGAAGTGAGTAATGAAAATAGTAAATATTTGTGATAATATGCAAATGTACGCAAACTAGATTTTTGGCCGGAATTTTCTTTCCTTTAATTAATTTTTTTGAACCGATTTTATGATGTTTGTTTATTGAAGCTGAATGAATACCCACATATAATGTTATATTTTAGTTTAAGACCACCTTTTTATGTGCATAACACATAAATATAGTTACTTAATTTCGATGGTCAAGAACTACTTCGATCTTGACCACAACCATATCTAATTAGGCGGGTCTTCCATTTCCAGACTTCCGAAAATGAACAGAGAATAAGTTGAAAATATTTAAGAAAAGAAAAAATATGGAAAACAAATAAAAATAAAACATTTTGAAAAACTGAAGAGGAAAGTGTATACAATTTATAAATATCCTTGCTATAAATAATGTTTTACTTTTTTTTAAAAAATTTTAAACCTTCTCTATATAGGCAATCTTCATTTTTTGTTACTTTTGACAGTAGTCTAAAATTACAGCAATATTTTGCAATTAAGGCATTAATATGTTTTGTTGGCTTCCTTTATATATCACTAAATCAGTTTTCGAATAATAAAATTAAATAAATATACAATTAACAATATTAAATATTAAAAAACCTCCTAATTTACTTACCTTCTTCTTTAAACGTTTAAAAGAAATGGTCGAAAATTGCGGTGCGTAGCCGGCAAATAGTGAAATGGCATTATTTTATTATCTAAATTAAAAAAAACTCTTTTAATTTTTTTTAGTAATATTAGAGAAGAAACCAAAATCAAAGTAATTTGACTTAGGTGGATATTTTATTTGCAAATGGATACTCAAATCGAACATTCTGTTACCTAGTCTAGAATTGGTACATTGACCCTATACATCTGCTCTGCCCTAAACATTTTAACTTTTAAGGCGGGAGCCATTCATATATTACAAGAAAAACTGCAAAAAATTCAATTTACTCAATGAAAGCACGAACAGTAACAGTAATTTGATAATGACGTTTATAAGTAAACTGTAATTGATCCCAGGCTAATTAGATATGTATCTTAAAAAAAATGTAGTCATTAACACTTTTAATGACTAGACTGTTAAAAGAAAATATTCGTCAGTCACTGGTAGAAATAAATAGATGTTATGTACCAGAAATTTCCTAATAAATGGAATTACGTTTTTCCGTCTATCAATTTTGATAAAGATACAGGCAAAAAGTCTGGAGGAAATATAGGGTTGCCGCCTGTCCTCTTTGTTCTGGACGTGTGTGCTTCCTGGAGGCATACTTTGTGTTGAGACTGATCAGTTGACAAGTTCTTAATTGACTAGGCAAAAAATGTTTGAAATAACATCTTGCCATTTTAGAGTGTTATCTATCCTTATTTAATAATAATATTTATTTTGTAATAAATTATTATGGGTTTTTGATCTTCAATTTGCTAATACCCGACAACGATATTAAGTGATTCGGGGAATCGCAATAATAATATCGACTCCCTTTGGTTCCCAGAACGACGCGACGGCGACGTAACACACAATATAAATATATTAAATAAATAAATGTAAATTTATTTGTATTTTTAATATTGTTCGGGTCAATTGACAAAAAAAATTTCACCGGTTCAGTTCCACAACCACTTTTTAATTGATATGATTTTTGTCTGCCTTTTAAAAGTTTCCTCTTTTAACTATAATATTTTTATAATTATATATTTTTTACGTATGTTTGCATTTCTGGTGGCATTAAAAAAAAGTCTACTTTATGCGATGTTAGGAAGTTCCATTAAATGTCGACCATCCACGAATAAAAACAATAGGCTTGCAATCGTCTAGTAGCGACAAGATTAAAAGTGTGGGTTGACACATGAATAGCGATTTTTGTACTGTCATCGCATTGATTAAAGAAAGTGCATAGAAATATAAGGCGTGTACGTTCGGAATTAATTAATAATGGGATTTACTATTAATTAACTGCCTGGTTCTACATCTCACCCGAAGCTGATCGTGATTGTCGGTTTAATTTCTAATTCAATGCCCAAATATAGAATAAGTTATGAAGCGAAAAGGTGTATCTGAGAAATATGGTAAAATGATCCATTCAGATATGGGACATTGACTGACAATTAATTTTAATTGGAGTAATTTTCAGGAAATTGGTTCGATCGACGAAATAGTGTATATGAATGAAGAAGGAATTGTTTTCGCTGCCCGGCGACAGCGTCGGCATCAATAATCGCGATTTTTAACCCAATTACGGGCAATTAATAAGTATTTTAATCGTCGGTCAGACAATAACGCCGTTTGCTTTATCGATATTACAATAACTTAATAATTGTGTACGATGGGCGCCAGCACTTCGGCGAGACGATGTTATAACTGCTCGAAAACAATGTTTATTAGTGGAATATCAATAAATAATGTGTTAGTTTGTTTAGTTCTTGTGCGAGGATAATATGTGGTGGAGGCTCCGAAAAATGCAATTAGTAAGTTCTAAATTAGCAAATCTTATTCTTCTATGCCGCCATGCGATTTTATATGTATATTTCTTAGTGTATATGTTTTGAATATTTTATTTTTTTAAATATTTTTCCAAAACCTTAATAGCGTGAAATTAATTATTTAACACAAAAGGTCTACAATGCCTGCTTCAAGTGAAAGTCACGTGTTTATAGCCCAAAACAA